AATCTATGGTTTTCCCAGTAGTGATGTATGGAAGGATATCAGCTCTGAGTGCTCACTGGAAGGACAGATCGTGAAGCTGAGGCTCCAATACTTTGGTCACCTCATGAGAAGAGAAGACTCCCTGGAAAAGACCCTGATGTTGGGAAAGATGGAGGGCACAAGGAGAAGGGGATGACAGAGGACGAGATGGTTGGATAGTGTTTGTGAAGCTACCAGCATGAGTTTGCCCAAACTGCGGGAGACAGTGGAAGACAGAAGTGCCTGGCGTGCTCTGGTCCATGGGGTCACGAAGAGCCGAACACGACTAAACGACTAAACAACAACAACAACAAATTGATGGCATTTATAGAACCTAAAATATGAGGCAGAACACAAACGGGGCCCTAGTCTGCTCAGCTTTGTGGGGAACCACCTGATTTCAGTATTTCTACCCAATGGATAAAGTCATAACAACGTTTGATATTAAGAAAGCAGATCTAGTCAGTTAGACAAAGACCCTGATTTTGGGAAAGATGGAGGGCACAAGGAGAAGGGGACAACAGAGGACGAGATGGTTGGACAGTGTTCTCAAAGCTACTAACATGAGTTTGACCAAACTGTGGGAGGCAGTGGAAGACAGGAGTGCTCTGGAGTCGGACACGACTAAACAACAACAATGCTGAAGCACAGCAAAAAATGGAAAAGAAGGGAAGGCACACAAAATAAAGACTGTCCAGGGCACTCCTTGCAGCTGCTGGGATCTTCTAGGCAAAGGGTATGCCTACTGCTGCCTCCCCATCCTTCTACAGCCATACCATAACATGTGAAGGATGCAGTATCAAAGTAAAAAAGGCTGAATGTAATGTGAGAGCAAATATAATCTAATAATATCAAGCAGCAGTTAATCTATTGGGATCTAATTCATTAGCACTAGTTCATGGATTTTTATAAGACTCTAGATCAGCCATGTCCAAAATCTGATTTGGGGGCCTAATCCGGCCCGCTGGTCGGTTTAATCCGGCCCCTGGCCCCTGTGGCAGTTTATTTTTTCCTGGGGTAAAATCCTAAAAGACCCTCAACAATGTCAATCCTTAAAAAAGCTCGACAACTTTGGTTGGCCCTTTGGTCGGCCCTCATGGCCCTTCACTTCATCAAATCTGGCCCTCTTTGAAAAAAGTTTGGACACCACTGCTCTAGATCTCACTTAACTGTACACCTCTCGATTCCCTTTCAGTTAATCCATGCTGCTCAAATCCATGCCAAAACAGAGGAATCTGCATGACAACAGGATTTGACCATTATGAATGCGACTGTACGCGGACTGGTTATCATGGGGAAAACTGCACTACACGTACGTATTCCAGAAAGTTACACTTGCACAATTAACATTTAGGAGAAAAGCCATAGTCCAGTGATGTAAAGAGCGCATCATTTTGCACAGTGTTGGTTCAAGTTAAAAATGGGTACAGTGGTGCCTCGCAAGACGAAATTAATCCGTTCCGCGAGTCTCTTCGTCTTGCGGTTTTTTCGTCTTGCGAAGCACGGCTATTAGCGGCTTAGCGGCTATTAGCGGCTTAGCGGCTTAGCGGCTATTAACGGCTTAGCGGCTTAGCGGCTATTAACGGCTTAGCGGCTTTAAGAAAAAGGAAACAAACTCGCAAGAACTCGCAAGACGTTTCGTCTTGCGAAGCAAGCCCATAGGGAAATTCGTCTTGCGGAACGACTCAAAAAACGCAAAACCCTTTCGTCTAGCGAGTTTTTCGTCTTGCGAGGCATTCGTCTTGCGGGGCACCACTGTATAAAAGTAATTCTTTGGCAAGTTTGGGGCAAGTACCAAGTACTCTTTGGTGAGGGAACTCCTGTAGATATTTAAAATCACAAAATTTGTAGCAAAGTAAGCATGGAAATATAGGCTATTGGACCTTTAAAATGTGCCCTTTCAAGTTCCTTCAAAAGTTCCACTTTTCCTGCAGCATAGGAAAAGACCACGTGTTTTTTGGTAAGTTAAAAATGGTTTACTTACAAACTCTCCAAAGGTCAGATTCATGAGCTTCAGAAAATTGCACAGGCAATAAAACTTGGCTTAATTACAAAGTGATGAAGGTTCCTAAATTACTATAGTGGTCTGGCACCCTCAAACTTTGTAATAGCTAACCAGTTGAACTAATTGGTATAGGAACTCAATAGTGGTTTCTGTGAGCCATGTGGTTTGAACAGGAGCAACCAGCTCAGACATCCCTACACGGTGAACTTCTCAAATAGGCAGAGGGTGAACAAAGGCTTGATTACCTCGTTCCTCCCAAAGTGAGGGGAAGTGGACATATTTAAGGCTGGCAGGACAGCTTGCTCTATGGTATTAACCCCTTCATGCATTAATTAGACTTAAGCATGTTAGTTATATGAGGCTGGGTATCCCACAAATAGCTGGTTCCAGGTTCAATCTCTGGTGGCACCAGGTAAGGTAGGGAAAGACTCCTGTTTGAAGCCATGGAGAGAGGCCACTAGTCAGTGAAGTTATTACTGATTATCTAGAGCAGAGTTTCCCAGACTTGGGTCTCCAGTTGTTTTTGGACTACATTTCCCATCAATCCTTACCACTGGTCCTGCTGCCTAGGGCTGATGAGAGTTGTAGTCCAGCTGGAGATACCTTAGTTTAAGGTAGCGTCAAAGGTTTCAAACAAAGGGTTGCCATATTTCAAACCAGGACACCCCGAAAATTGTTGAGTTTTTTAAAGACAAATCCCAGAGTTGTTGCACTCCCACTCCCCCGCAAAAGCCCAAAAATCATCATATTTTTTTTTATTTACTTGCCTAATATCCAGGACAAACATCCACCTTTCGCAGATTCTCCCTGGACATATGGCGGTCCAGTTTTCTTCAGTTCCTATTTGCATTTTTTTTCATGAATGTTTTTCCTAATTTTCATGGCACTTCATTCCTTGCAGCGGAATTCTTTACTTGGCTGAGAGCGATGCTGAAACCTGCTCCAGCCACAGTCTACTATCTGCTCACTCACTTCAAAGCAGTCTGGGATGTAATCAACAACACCCCTTTCCTCCGCAACACCATCATGAAATATGTATTGATATGTAAGTAACCCTACCTTTCAATGCTGTTCTTACAGAATAGTCCTATACGCATCTACTCAGAAGTAAGTCTCACCGAGTTCAACGGAGCTTGCTGCCAGGTCAATGAGTATTGGATTAGAGGCTTAATAGTGGGGACAGGTATTTACCTATACATGTCTACTCCTTGAGAAGTAAGTCTCATTGAGTTCCATGGGCCTTATTCCCAGGTGAACGAATATAGGCTTGGAACAGGAGGTCAGCTATATATATCTGAGCTCTTTGAGGTACCATATGTTGACTACAATAGTTGTCATTTCTATACATATTGACCTAATGCAGTAACTGAATTCTACCCTCTAAGCTTTCTAATAAATGGCATTATGGAAAGCAATAGCTGAGTCAAGAGTCTTCCTTTTCATACCTTAGGTGCAATTTGCTTCTTGTGGAAGATGACAGCAAAAGTGAAAACTCCTCTTGAGAAGTTTTTGTACAACACACATTTAAAATGAGCTTTGTGGTCTGTATAGCTGTCTGTACTTCTGCGAGGGAAGTTGGGGATCTTTCTCAAAGGGTTTTGAGCACCCTCATCTGATTACAAATTTCAGGATTCTCCACTGGGTTTGACAGTGGTATGTCCTCTCACTTTCCTCAGTGGGCAGTATCACGGCCAGGCCACACATGTGATCCAGCAAATGACAGGCCCGATCACCTGGCTGCCGGCTATTGGCCAATGCCAGCAGACCATGGATGGACATTCCCCTGGCGGTGGGCCCACCTGACCAATGGGGATAGTTGGGTCCACTCCCAGGGGTAGCCTGCCCAGCAGACTCCCCTGCCTTGACAAGAGGTTTTTGGTGTCATAATTTTTTAGAGTTGCTATGGCCCCAAAGATGCAAAAATGCAAAGAGTATAAAATTGAGAATGGGCTTATCATCTCACATCGCTTCTGAAATTTGCGTTGCTGTGGTCAGATCATTAATTGGTGAGGTTTAGATCAGGCATAGGCAAATTCCAGCCAACCAGATGTTTGGGACTTCAATTCCCATCATCCCTGACCACTGGCCCTCTTAGCTAGGGATGATGGGAACTGTAGTCCCAAATAGTCCCAAACATCTGGAGGACCAGAGATTGCCTATGCCTGGTTTAGATCCTCTGTGAAAGCAGTCGATGGAGGAAGATTGGAAGAAATTCAAAGACTATCTTCAGAAACACTGCAAAATTAAGGAATGTTAGAATGATGTTGGACTGAAAATAAGTGGTTTCCAGCTGTACAGGTTAAAGTTAATGATAGACTAAGATTAAAGATTAAGATTAAAGATGTTTAAAGAAATGGAAATTTGATATTAAGAGGGAAAAATTTAACGTTATATGATATTAAGACCAAGGATTAGGTTTAAAGAAGTTGAAGTTATATATTTTAATATTTTATCAAACTAAAGATTGGGATTAAAAAAGTGGAAAAGAAACTGCTGGACAAACAATTTGGTTTGGAATACAAAAGAGGGAGGTATGAGGAAGTCCAGAAAATAAGTAACTTAAAAATGGAAATGGAAAAGAGATATTATTTTTAATTGTTATGTTTTTTGTTTTTTTTATTGTTGAATTTTGTGTTGTTTTTTGTGTGTGTTGTTGTTATATGTATTGTGTATGTTTTTTTTTCTCTTTCTTTGTTGTTTAAAACCTTAATAAAAATTATTTAAAAAAAAAATATATAGATCCTCTGTGAAAGCAGACTGTATCTGAGTTATCACTGCTTAGGTCACACAGTCATTAATTGCTTGCCCTGAACATAATTTCTTTTATTCATCCCTTGGCCATCTAGCAAGGTCCAATTTAATAGAGAGCCCACCAACGTATAACAGCCGTTATGGTTACAAAAGCTGGGAAGCCTATTCAAACCTTTCTTACTATACCAGAGCACTTCCACCGGTAGAACGCAGCTGCCCAACCCCTATGGGTTTGAAAGGTAAGAAGGGGCAAAAATCTGAATACGTGAAGATAAGAGAAGATGAAATATTATTCCTCCTCTATGTACACAAGGCCAGTGGGGGCAACCCTGGTCTCCCCCCTCAATGCAGTGGTCAGTCATGTCCAGGGAATACCTCAGAAGGGCTGAAACATTAGAAAATGTGTCAGAAGGAGAAGCACAAGATGTAGAGCATTTGCTACATCATAAATCTTCACGCTGAAAGGTTTTGTCTTACTTTGTCAAATAAGAAGAGGGTAGGCCTTTAGTGGATGCTAGCAAGTGATGCATTTGGGCATGTAAAGGTAAAGGGACCCCTGACCACTAGGTCCAGTCGTGACCGACTCTGGGGTTGCACGCTCATCTCGCTTTATTGGCCGAGGGAGCCGGTGTACAGCTTCTGGGTCATGTGGCCAGCATGACTAAGCCGCTTCTGGTGAACCAGAGCAGCGGACGGAAACGCCGTTTACCTTCCCGCCAGAGCGGTACCTATTTAGGTAACTACTTGCACTTTGACGTGCTTTCAAACTGCTAGGTTGGCAGGAGCAGGGACCGAGCAACGGGAGCTCACCCCGTCGCAGGGATTCGAACCGCCAACCTTCTGATCGGCAAGTCCTAGGCTCTGTAGTTTAACCCACAGCACCACCTGCATCCCAATTTGGGCATATACTGGCAACCAAACTAATAACAAACTGGTTTAAAGCAGAACTATATTCAGCGTACTACTTTAGAATTAGACTAGTTCCAAAACACAAAGAAGCTATCAACATTGTACATTTGGAGTTTAACATACTGTACATTTGGAGTTTTGCATATTTACATTTCCCCTGTCAAATTCCTGTAGGAAGGACCACTCCTCACATCAAATGGGGGGCGCCTTTCGGTAGTACGGCTGGTTTTACCCTCCCCAGGATGGATACCTGGAGGTCTCCGCCTACCTCAGCCAATCGCCCAATCCCACCTGGGGAGGCGTTGCCAAGGGATCAGCCAGGTAGGGGGAGGGACCGCCCTGCCCACACAACAGAAGGAGAATCTTACCTGTAGGAAAAAGGAAACTGCAGCAGCTATTCTGTTTCCAGCACTTACAAGTGTCAGAAAAATGAATGATTATTTTACATCCCAGGCAAGAAGGAACTTCCAGAGTCGAAGCTCGTTGTGGAGAAAGTTCTACTTAGGAGAAAATTTATTCCCAGCCCTCAAGGCACAAATATCATGTTTGCGTTCTTCGCTCAACACTTCAACCACCAATACCTCCATACAGAAAAGGACAAAGGGCCAGCCTTCACAAAGGCCTTTGGGCATGGGGTAAGCTGAAAGAGTCATGACTTCGACTGGTTAGCTATTACAAAGTAGAACTGTTATGCATTTGAGGGTGCTGGAAAAATACAATCTCTAGACCTTATAAATGTTAGAATTCAATTAAGGCTTGGGGGTACAGAGTTATGTGCTAGACACTTTTCTTTCTTTTTCATACAGTGGTGCCTCGCAAGACGGAATTAATTCGTTCCGCGAGTTTTGTTGTCTTGCGATTTTTTTCATCTTGCGAAGCACGGTGTCGGGAAAGTTTTGGAAAAGCTTCAAAAATCACCAAAGTCTTTAAAAACCTCAAAAAAGGCTACCACACCGCGTTCTATGAGTTGCTCCTCGAAGTCAAGTCGCAACTGTATTAACGGCGTTAAGAAAAAGGAAACAAACTTGCAAGACGTTTCCGTCTTGCGAAGCAAGCCCATCGGGAAAATCGTCTTGCGAAGCAGCTCAAAAAACGAAAAACCCTTTCGTCTAGCGAGTTTTTCGTCTTGCGAGGCATTCGTCTTGCGGGGCACCACTGTAATTTTTATTAAATTTCCTGTTTTACATTTTTCACTTAATCAACCTTAAAATATCATTGACTTCCCTTCTCTTCCCATGGTTCCTTTTGCATAATGCACACTCATACTTGATAATGTGGGTGCCCTTTGTGGGATTGCGCGCGGTGCTACGGTTCCCAGGGAACTTATTAATAAAAGGGGACTGGCTTGCTTCTCAGTGTATTATTTGGAGGTTCACGCCCAGCCTCAGTTATCAAGTTTCTTGCTGGGAGGGGGGCCAGCCCCATTTATAATAGGGGATGAAGCCGACAATAGCCAGGCAGTCGGCTCTGGAGATTCACCCTCCCTCCCATCCCTCTGTTTAATGTTTTCTTGTTTACAGGTTAACTTTTTCTTCCTGTTTAGCGGGTGCTGCTACGGTCTTTGACTGCTTGTTGTTGATGGTCAGGGAGGAAATTTTCCTGCATTTTGTCTTCCCCATAGCAGTTCGCCACAACTTTGGCGGTTATGGCGGGGAGGGGGGGCGTGAAGGGGTGACTCACCCCCCTGCAGTGGCAATTCCAGGGTCCCCTCTTAAAGGGGTTATATATATGGGTGTCACTGGCCATACACTGAAAAGTTGTCAGTGAACTACCCTGTGTGTGGGGATATGGGCTGGGCTGCCTGCTACACTTACATCTCACAGAGCACCCTCATATCCCATTTACCCTGATGAGCCCCAGTTCCCCCCGGCTGGGGGGCTGGGAGGGATACACGCCTAAGGCCTACGCCAAGGTCTTCCTACATTTGGAAGTTTAATAAAGTTGTGGCCTAATTTTTAATTCCAGAGTCTTTATTCCTTTCTTATGATCCCTGGGGGCTGGGGCTGTTGCGCCTGGTCACGCAACATAAATCCCTACGTATTATAAACTACACCATTCAGTATCCCATTATTACATCAATCAAAGCTTATTTACACTGTTGAATTTATCTTAATGCTGCCCACATTTCCAAATATACACAATTTCCTCCATATATTCAATAAACATTTTCCAATCTTCTCTAAACCTATGTTCTTCTTGTTCTCTTACTCTGTGTTAGGTCCACAAGCTGCACACATTCCATCAGTTCAAGTTGCCATTCTTTTTTTAGTTGGGACCTCGCTTGTTTTCCCATTTTGGTGCTAACAAAACACAGGACTCAGTAGTGGCATACATAAATAACCTTTTTTGACACCTGGGAATTTCAGGCTGAATTATCCCCAACAAGGAGGACTCTGGGTTTTGTTTTTTTTTGGAAAAGTACTTCTAAGCATTTCTTTCAATTCATTATGAATTATTTCCCAATACTCTTTTACGCTTTTACAGGTCCACCACATATGATAGAACGCACCCTCAGCCTCATTGCATCTCCATGTGCTAGATGCTTTTAATCCCCTGGAATCAGCAAGTGTTAAAAGATAATTGTATTTTAGTGTTCTGTTGGAAGCCGCCCAGAGTGGCTGGGGAAACCCAGCCAGATGGGCAGGGTATAAATAAATTATTATTATTATTATTATTATTATTATTATTATTAAGCCAGGCTAGCCTCCTGGGTCGAGGTAAAAGCCTGGGTGATGCACCATTAAGAAAACAAGGATTAGAATGGTGTAGGTTAGAATGGTGAGAGTTAGGAATTGTGTGACTAAGACACAAAACAGGAGGCAGAGCATGATGTCTGACATCTGTCTGAATTGAAAGCTACGGCTATGGGAGAAGCAAGACCCTTTGGGGTTTTAATCCTGTGAGACCCTCCATCGTAGGCTCAGGTTGTATATATTTGTAAATAAGCCTTATATCATAAAGATGCCACAGTCTCCACTCTGCCTCATTTCCAAAAGAAAATATGGACCCTGGGTAAGTGCCTGGAATATGGACCCTGGGTAAGTATCTGGAATATGGACCCTGGGTAAGTGCCGCTGGAGACTGGGGTGGCATGCAACACAATTTCTATTAGTTCCTTCAGAAAGCAGGAACCCTTCTTAACAACCTTGTTTACAATGATATGTATCACCACCACCCTGTGTTGTGTATCAGAAAAAAATCAGTTTTATATGCCAGGGCTCATTCTATATTTAACCCAAATACAGGCATGCAATAGCAAAACAATTTTTCTATAAATTAAGAATATTCATATCATGATGTATTTTGAGGACTGACCAAACTCTTTCCTCCGTTGTACCCTCACTGCAGCATATATCATTCTGAAACTTTTAGAGGGAGATAACTAATTTTACTGGACATTTACGAAGTGTTCAACTTTCTTTGGGCGACAACTAGTATATTTAAGTAATATTCTGTCTGTTTTTATATATATATATATAATTTTTTATTATTTTCTTATAAACAGCTTTTCCATCAATACAATAGCCAACTTAAAAATCCCTTTTACTCTGCTGAGCTTATTCTGTCTATTTTGTAAGGGCTTCACCCTGAATCTATTTGTTTCTCTGTCTCATCTGTCAAATTAAAAATCGGACGTTCATGTTCCTATCATTTCAACAGGTCGATCTAAATCATATCTACGGAGAGAATTTGGATAGGCAGCTGAAACTCAGACTATTTAAGGATGGGAAGATGAAATTTCAGGTTGGTTTGGACTTTTTCTGAAAACGCTGCAGTGTGTTGAGAAAAAGAGAGATTGTATTTATGTTAAAGTATTTACTTGGAAGAGTGGTGTGTTCCCTCTGATGCATAGAAGCCCCACAGACATTTTAGTAACTGCACCAGCAACCATTTCCCCCCTAGATAACTATTTAAGGAGTATAGACTATCACAATGCCACAATCTCACAAAAATCTCTGTACTTGAAATCCACTGGAAATTGTCAAGTACAGTGGTACCTCGGGTTACAGACACTTCAGGTTACAGACGCTTCAGGTTACAGACTCCGCTAACCCAAAAATAGTACCTCAGGTTAAGAACTTTGCTTCAGGATGAGAACAGAAATTGTGCGGCGGCAGGAGGCCCCATTAGCTAAAATGGTACCTCAGGTTAATAACAGTTTCAGGTTAAGAACGGACCTCCAGAACGAATTAAGTTCTTAACCCGAGGTACCATATAAGCATATTATATTTGAACTGGATTTTAGTATTCTTGGCTGAAATTCAGTATGATAGAAGATTCTATATGCTGCCATGCTCATTTATTTGTTTTTTTAATTACAGATGATCGATGGAGAGATGTACCCACCCACAGTCAAAGAAACTCAGGCAGAAATGATCTACCCACCACACGTCCCTGAGCACCTGAAATTTTCTGTAGGGCAAGAGGTCTTTGGTTTGGTTCCAGGGCTGATGATGTACGCCACGTTATGGCTCCGGGAACACAACCGGGTCTGTGACATTCTGAAGGGCGAGCATCCAGAATGGGATGATGAGCAGCTGTTCCAAACTACCCGCCTGATCTTAACAGGTAATTCTTACAATTGCTCATGGTTAACACACAATTACTTGATGAAATTTTGCTGCTGCTAGATGTGGCGATGGCCATCATCTAAGATGTCTTTAAAATGGCCGAGACAGTTTCATGGGAGATAGTTCTATCACCGTTTGTTGACTATTGTTGATTCTGAGCATCTCAGGGACATTTTGTGGGCCGTCGTTGGAAATGTAGTGCCAGACAAGATGGACACTTGGATTGATTCAAGAGGACTGTTCTTCCATTATTCAATGTTGCTGTGACTTTTAACTGGGAGCATGGCATTCCACAGCAGATGACTTTCGCTTTCTGTTTGCCTGCTGGATTTTGGATGGCTTGCTGCAGATTTGATTAGGGACTTAACATTGCTCTGGAAACAAAACTAAAAGATTTGACTTTATTGTGGGAAAACAGGAGCAACCATCAAGATTGTGAATGAAGACTACGGCCTGAAAGCGAGATGAGTGCCACACCCTATAATCGCCTTTGACTGGACTTTTTTGTTTGTTTGTTTGTTTTCTTATACAAAATTATAAAACGTACCACATAATTTATCACAAATACAATCTTATCGGACTTCCATCAACACCTCTGATGATCCTCCGTCTTAATCACTTCTTAACTTAATATTGCCTTTACATCTCTTAAACATATCATCTCTCCTTTTCCATTTTTACAATATTTCCAATAATACTCCTCACAGAACTTCTTGGAAACCTACAAACATCGTCTGATAATCACAGATACTTTTCAGATAATCCGTAAATTTACTCCAGTCTTCGTTAAAATTCTGGTCCTGCCGGTTTCGGATCCTTCCTGTTAGTTTATTTAATTCTGCATAGTCCAGTAACTTCATTGCCTTTGGCTGGACTTAACCGCCATGGGGTCCTTTACCCTTTTATTGTTTAGGAAATGAAAAGACTGACTGACTTTTGTTTTCTGTGGGGAAACAGGAGAGACCATCAAGATTGTGATTGAAGACTACGTGCAGCACCTCAGTGGCTACCACTTCAAGTTGAAGTTTGACCCAGAGCTGCTCTTCAACCAGAGATTCCAGTATCAGAACAGAATAGCGGCAGAATTCAACACCCTTTACCACTGGCACCCTCTCCTCCCTGATACCTTCCAGATTCATGACCAAGAGTACACATACCAGCAGTTCATCTATAACAACTCCGTCTTGTTAGAACATGGTCTTTCCCATATGGTGGAATCCTTCTCCAGGCAAAGGGCTGGAAGGGTAAGAATATATTTCCTACTAAGAAATTGCATAGCCTTCATCTTGAGGCAACATGATACAACTGTCCTCCTGTATTGTAAGTCACCCTTGTGTCTGAAAAGCCTTTAAACACAGAATGATTATCTCTTTCTTTTTTTAAATAATATTTATTACTTTCCAACAATTTAGACATTACATAGAAAAAGAAAATAAACAATACAATACAATACAAAAACAATACCTAACACTGAACTAACAAAAACAATTTAAACTAAGAAAACAAAACAAAAACAATTTAAAACACATCAAATAGTTTCAATCTTTCATTCACTTATTTCCATGACCTCCTCACACCTCCCTTTTTGTATTCCACTTCTATTAGTTGTTTCAGCAATTCCTTTCCATCTTCCTCTGCTTTCTATAAAACACAGAATGATTATCAATGGGGCCTTCTGAGATTTGGTGAACAGTTTTGCAGTATATGCAGCTTTCTCTGTGGCAGCAGCTTTTATTGCTCTCCTGTTGTTTCATTTTCTGACAGAAGGCTGAATAGCACAAGCAGTTTTACATTGTAAATCAAGAGATGAGCGTCTTTTACATTTGAAGTCCGGTTGATTTCAAAGGGGCCAGAAGTTCTTATGACCTACTATTCCATTTGATCAGTTTATAATGCAACAAATGCACAATAGACATTACAGTGGTGCCCCGCAAGACGAATGCCTCGCAAGACGGAAAACCCGCTAGACGAAAGGGTTTTCCGTTTTTGAGTTGCTTCGCAGGACGAATTTCCCTATGGGCTTGCTTCGCTAGACGAAAATGTCTTGCGAGTCTTGAGATTTTTTTTTCGCTTCCCCCCCCCCTTTATCTAATCCGCTAAGCCTTTAATAGCCTTTAATAGCCTTTTAGCAGCTAATCCACTAAGCCTTTAAGCCTTTAATAGCCGCTAAACCGCTAATAGCGCTAATCCGTTAAGCCGCTAATAGGGTTGCTTCGCAAGACGAAAAAACCGCTAGACGAAGACTCTTGCGGAACGGATTAATTTCGTCTTGCGAGGCACCACTGTATTAGTTAGGGTCGTTTCTCTACATATACTTGTAGAAAAGTAGCTTTTATCACTGAAGTGGCAAACCTGTTCACTATTCTGCTTGAAGAAACTTGCATGATGGAATGTCCCTCAGTTTTCTCTTCTAAAAAATGTTCCTTCTATATACAAAACTAGAAGTTGTGGAAGAATTCAAGTCTAGTATTTTCCCTGATTTATTTATTTTTTTTCTGTGTGAGAACTGGACTCTGAGTTTAGTCTCAGTGAGAACATACAGCTCTGCCTGAAGTAACCAAGTTTAACGCAGTCACATGTGTTTTCTCTACTTCTCCATTCTACCCAAAGGAAGGCCAACTCCAAAACCTCACATTCCTATTTTTGGAACCATGGTGGCAAGGCTTGTAGGTATTATGGAACGCCATGCCATACTTGTGCCAACATATACAGCATTTAAGCTCCATTTTGTTACTCACAAAAGGGATGCGGGTGGCGCTGTGGGTTAAACCACAGAGCCTAAGACTTGCTGATCAGAAGGTTGACAGTTCGAATCCCCGCGACGGGGTGAGCTCCTGTTGCTCAGTCCCTGCTCCTGCCAACCTAGCAGTTCGAAAGCACGTCAAAGTGCAGGGAAGGTAAACGGCGTTTCCGTGCGCTGCTCTGGTTTGCCAGAAGCGGCTGAGTCATGCTGGCCACATGACCCAGAAGCTGTACTCGGCCAATAAAGCGAGATGAGCGTCGCAAACCCAGAGTCGGTCACGACTGGACCTAATGGTCAGGGGTCCCTTTACCTTTACCTTTTTGGTACTCACATTACTCCATTTCTTTGATAACAGATATCTGGTGGACGGAATGTCCCTGCTGCAATGCAGAAAGTAGCTAAGGCCTCCATTGATCGAAGCAGGCAGATGAGATACCGCTCCATGAATGAGTATCGGAAGCACTTTATGCTGAAACCCTTTCAGTCATTTGAAGAGCTCACAGGTAAGACCTTGTCCTCTACTTATAGAAAAACAAGAGATTCATTTTGGGGGCAAGGCTGCACAGCGTAGAGATCAAACCTCTGCTTTGCATGGGGATGTTTGGGGTCCAATTCTTGGCATCTCCAATTAAGGGACAGCAATTAGCAGGTCCAGGATTGTGTAGGCAGCTAAAGGCTAGATGCTCCAATGGGCTGGGTTAGACTAGGTCATAGTTCAGTTCTATGCTGCCTCTCATCCCAAAAGCCCTCAAGTTGGTGCTCAAATGTTCAAATCCAAATCCAAGATTCAAGCAATATAACCAATAAATGAATTACTCAGTGTGTTGAGAACGCTACCAGACTTTTAGAAGACTTTTAGAAGACATCTGAAGGCAGCCCTGTTTAGGGAAGCTTTTAATGTTTGACGGACTATTGTATTTTAATATTTTGTTGGAAGCCACCCAGAGTGGCTGGGGAAACCCAGCCAGATGGACAAGGTATAAATAATAAATTATTATTAGTCCTTTCACGTGGACTATCATTCTGTCCTGCCAAATCCCAAAACATGTTTCTGACTTCCGGAGGTGGCGCCAACGGCAATGGCGGAATCCCTCTAATCTAGAGGGAGATCGCTCCACAGAAATCCGGTCTAAAACCGCTTCGGCGCAGCGGGGACCCTTCAAACCACAGGCGGGTGAAGCCTGTGACCCTGGGACTCGGCGGGCACTGTTTGCGCCCCCAGGTCTGCAAAGGAACCCGGCAATGGGCTCCGGAACAGAGCGGGGAAGTGAAGGCGCTGTGCTGTGAGTCGTCTGCTTCTTTTGTGGAGTGAAGCCGCGTAGCTGTTGCCAGAGAGCGCTGCCTTTTTTCCTGGACAATTCGGACTTTAAAACAAATATCCGTGAGTACCCAGAATTTGGACAAATTGGGATACTAAAGGAAGATTAGTGAAAAGGGCAGAATTGGACTATAAAAAAAAAAGAAAGAAAAATTGATTGAATTTGGTACGGAGCGGTAAGGGCTAAACAGGAAGTCACCCTTCCGTTCTTTTGTAAATATAACAAAGCAAAGTCAAATTGTACTAGAGCTTTGAAAATTGCTCTTAAAAGAGTGGAATCCAACATTTTAAATTGGGAATATTTTTTTTTGGACTATTTGAAGCAGTAAAAGGAAGTTATTTTCGTCCTGATCCTGGAGCGGGGAAGTCAGGACTGACGTGAACAAATCAAGGTATCTGTGTGTGTCAGATAGTTAAAAGAAGAGAATTTTTGTGACTCTATTGTTCCCTTTCGCACTTTAAAGGAATATATAAGGATAAAGGATTTTAAGTAACATGGAAATGTATCAGAAACAAATATAAGTCTTCCCCTTAGGGGGAGCTTTAGAAACTGTAACTAAATGCCAAGGACTTGACAGTTGTTACAAAGAACCGTGGGAGAGTGCAACAATGTTTTCAGAAGTTGTGGTTTGCCTGCTCAATGAAACAAATATTCTACTGGAAGAACTACATGATAAGGTGAACCAGATGGCCAAGTCGACTGGAAATCTCGGACTGGCAGTGGAAGGCGTTGATCAAACTGTGGGAATAGATGTGGAGTCTATCCAGGATTCAAACCAGGAGTGTGTTTTGACAGAACAGGGGTTTGTGGCATTAAATCAGGAGTGTGGCTTGACAGAACAGTCTCAACAGGAGCTTGATCCTTCGGACTTGATAATGGAATTTGGGAAAAATCAGATATGGGAAGGGAAAGTTCGGTGTGGTTTGGAAATGGGGGGCTGGATTGACCCCCCTATGTTGGGATATTTGGACTTTTTAAATTCAGTAACAGGCTGCGACATGTTTGGAAATGTGGGGGTCCACAAATTCGGGGGGCCCTTGAAGTATGCTCTTAAATACTACATGGAATGCAGCGATGAACAGGGAAAAGGATCTGATCTGATGAGAAGGGTTAAAAGCACTATTAAGTTGGAGCTACTACGAGCAAGTGACTACAGCCACAAATATGAAGAAAAGCTGCGGAAGGGCCATGGAAGTGACTTGAGGGCCTCGGACATAAGGTCACCGGGTTAGTTTGATGAATAAGGACTGACAAATCCCGAAACCAGGAGGAAGGGACGTTGGATTAAGATTGGACTTGATTATATGCTTCTTTCTCTTTTTTTGTTTTTTTTGTTTTTTAACTAATAGAATGTTTTATAAAGCTGATGAATGATAGAATGAGAGAAAAATGAATGATAGGAAAATGTTGGAAGAATTTACCTGGCTTTAGCAAAAATGTATAAAGAATTATGAAAGAACATTATGAATATAAGAAGTGGGTAAAGTCAAGATCTAAATTTTAAATTTTAAAGTTTATTTTATAATAGAAGGAAAGGATTTGCTGGGATAATTAAAAACTATTAAAGAATCATGAAAGAACATTATGAATATAAGAAGTTGGTATAATTAAGATTTAAATTTTAAATTGTAAGGTCTATTATATAATAGAAAAATGGAAAGGATTTGCTGGGATAATTAATAACTAGAATACAAAGGAAGGGAGGAGGAGGAGGTCTAATGTTTTTTCTTCTCTATTATTATTTTTCTTCTGTATTTCTTACTTTTTCATATTTTTATTTTTTTACTTTTGTATCTTTTTCTTATTGTGTGTAAGTTTTTGTATTCCCTATTTTCTGTTTTTGTGTAATTTTTGTATTTTTTTTTGTTTTCTTTTGAAATCTCAATAAATATTATTAAAAAACAAACAAACAAACAAATCCCAAAACATGTTTCTGTTCTGCGGAGACTTGGAAGCATTTTTCCGCCATTTATGCTGGAAGAAGTACTTTCAACACACACAAGAATAAGACAAAGTAGAACAAACAACATCTTCACAACACAACATCTCTCAACCTACTGGGGAACAACCACCACGCTCCCAACACATTAATGAACAGAACATTGACCACTAACTACCACTTAAAAAGAGTTACACAAAAAGGGACTCCACATGGACCCCTCCTGATGGATGCAATACCACACTAGATCTGTACATCGATTGCTTCCACCACAGAAACCAAACGGATATGACCAGAAAACACCATCACTTACCACCAGGTTTACTACACCTATCAGCCAATCACCCATTCCCATCACCCTTCTGAGTAATACCCCTCCCCACCCTCTCACTATATATAAGGGTCTGGTGACTTCTGTTTCAGTATATCTGAAGAAGTGTGCATGCACACGAAAGCTCATACCAATAACAAACTTAGTTGGTCTCTAAGGTGCTACTGGAAGGAATTTTTTAAAAATATTATTATTATTATTATTAGTTTTTTAAAAAGTGTTGAGTTCCTGCAGAAAAGCTCTGTTGTCTTTTATTAGAGATTGGGTAGTTGCAGCCCCTCCACTGAGAACATGTACTGTCTTTTCAAGCTGTAAGGTAAAAGGTAAAGGGACCCCTGACCATTAGGTCCAGTCGTGGGCGACTCTGGGGTTGCGTCGTGGGCGACTCTGGGGTTGCGGCGCTCATCTCGCTTTATTGGCCGAGGGAGCTGGTGTATAGCTTCTGGGTCGTGTGGCCAGCATGACTAAGCTGCTTCTGGCGAACCAGAGCAGCACACGGAAATGCTGTTTACCTTCCTGCCGGAGCGGTACCTATTTAACTACTTGCACTTTGACATGCTTTCAAACTGCTAGGTTGGCAGGAGCTGGGACTGAGGAACGGGAGCTCACCCTGTTGCGGGGATTCGAACCGCCGACCTTCTGATCGGCAAGTCCTAGGCTCTGTGGTTTAACCCACAGTGCCACCCGCGTCCCTCAAGCTGTAAGGAGAGATGCTCAAAAGAGAAACTGCATGTTCTAAGGATGGAAAGGAAGAAAGCAGAGGTTGTGGGGAGTCCTTCTTGGAGATAGTTTTCCATAAGACTATTCTGTGTCAACCATAGCTTTCCTTGAAAAGATTTGTAATATGATTCATTCATTCTTCTGTCGCTGCATTGACTTTCTCCCTGTTGATGCAAAATTTATTCAGGATTGCAGAGCTTGACTTCCCCACCATACTATTTCTATTTCATGGCAGCTTTTGCAACACTAATGAGGTCTCTCCCTGTCCTCCTTTGTAAGGCAACTTCCTTTCTTATTCTCAGAACCTCGGAGAAGAACCCGCTAATGATTTGCAATCATATACAAAACCATCCCCCCAACTGTTGGAGATTCCCTGCTTAACCATGATTTTTGCCTCTTGTTATCACAGGAGAAAAAGAAATGGCTGCAGAACTTGAAGAACTCTATGGGGATATTGATGCTATGGAGTTCTACCCAGCTCTTCTTGTAGAAAAACCATATCCTGGAGGTATATTTGGTGAGACCATGATAGAAATTGGGGCACCATTCTCTTTGAAAGGTCTCTTTGGAAACGCTATTTGCTCACCAGAGTACTGGAAGCCCAGTACCTTTGGGGGCAAAGTTGGCTTTGACATAGTGAACACAGCCTCCATCCAAAACCTTATCTGCAACAATGTGGAAGGCTGTCCTCTCATGGCTTTCCACGTCATAAACCCCGCAACAGCAGCAACGAATAACGTCAGCACCTCCAGCACAGCAAGAGACGAGACTGGCCCACCGTTACGATCAAAAGAACAGTTTGCTGAACTATAGGGAACAGTGTTTTGCATATTTATTTATTTATATCATTGCTGCTGCTGCTGCTGCTGCTGCTAACAAAAACCACTTTAAAGGCATCTTCTGCTTAGATCTGCAGGACCGAACCTTTCGGTTTTTAAGAATATCTACTGTACTAGAAAGATGTATTCCAAAATGGATCAGGGCATGAGATATGCTGCTTAAACTTGAACAGAAATGATAACTCTGCCTCTTAAACTTGACAAGAAGGACCCTAAATATGGAACCATTTTAGGTGTCTAGAAGTGATATTTTATGGAACAATAAATCCTGTTATTAAATCATGCTAAAACCATTCCTTATTAGCTATGCAGTTTGAAATGAGATCTAACAGCCAAATGGCCGCTTTCTAAACCCATAAATTGCCTTCAGCTGTTGCAAGTGGTGAGAGGCTTATGCTTCCTCTTTTCAGCTGTGAGAAGTGGAGTTCCAGATCCCATCTAGGCCTCACAAATGTGATTTGAGATATAGCACTGTATGTTCCAGAGCTTTTTTTATAACACAGCCACTTATATCTGGTCATTTCAACTTTTGGATACTGACACTTTTCAAGTTGACTGATAAACACTTATGAAAAAGAACTATAAACATAATTTGTAAAAAATAAACCAGAAAATAAACCAAACACTCCCCCCCACCCATTTGCCTTTTATTGCCTGATTCCTCCCAGCTTCACACCAACAGAACCTCCGTTCATTTCCCTCTACATCTATGTGTGCATTAGTAGGAAGGTGACCAGAAACCTCACACTGAACGCATGATGAATGGATGCAGAACAGTGTGGGAGGGGACGATTGTGCGTGCATTGTTGATTCAGGAAGATAAATTGCAAAAGGCACGCCATGTACCTTGCTTGATGTTTACTTCCCTCTTTTCACATGGGGTAATTTTTCCAGAAGATCGTTAAAATAAATGCTCTTCAACAACACAAAGACTTTCATTTGTATTAGAAGGTGTGTCATGAAGAGCATTGTTGATCTTTCTAAAACCTCTAATTAACACAACATTTTTTTTTAGAGCAGCAAGGCAGCATTGGGGAAATGAAAAACCCTGAACAGCTCAGTTGATAGAGCATAGGACTTTTAATTTCAGGGTTGTGGGTTTGAGCCACACGCTGGGTGAAAGATTACTGTATTGCGTGATGTTTGACTAGATGACCCTCGCTGTCCCTTCCAACTCTATGATTCTTTGAAATCCCCCACTGCAGAAGAGAGATAACCCCTGCAATACCCTGTCCTAAAGAATGAGTATGGTCTACACAAGCCACAGTTGCTGGAATCGTAACAATTCTCTGTAGCCATAACAGATGTTGCTTAAAAACTCAGATCTGGGTAACTGAGGAGGAGACTTGGGGATGAGAGGGGTTCACTGCCTTGCATTTCTGGTGCATCTCAGAATGATGAATGGAGATGCTATTGAAGGGATCCACCTTCCCTTTGGGCATAGGCAGGCCTGGGATGATGCATTGGGGCAAGAATGTGCCCGTTGCATGCCCGAGAAACATATATTATGCACCAGTTATGATTACAACTCAGACGTTGTGTCAACATGAGGGTCAGGCCATGGTTTGATGAAATAAAACCTATTGTACTGCGAGAAAGTGATTTATCATGAAGCCAGAGGGTGATGTAGGACTTCAAAGCCAAACATTGGGAGCCAGACTGTAAACTCAAGTGCATAATTGTGCATTGCACCCCAACTTTCCCATTCAACAAGAACTGTCATACTGGATCATATCTGATCTACTGACTCATGTAGGTCACCTGTCTCTCTTTTGGCCCGTGCAAGATGAATAATTGCAGATTTAGATTTTATCTCTGGGTACAGGAGTTAAAGCGAGGCTGGCTTTTACCATTATTCATGCGATCAGTTCTGTTTATTCCCCAACATGAGTTGCATCAGGTTGGGAATCGTGACAATGGAAGTCATAATTGCTGCTTTACTGTTCAATTCAGGGACTACTAAAGGCCAAGCCAGAGTCAGGATTTATTTGGTATGGAGGTTTTTGAAGAGGATTGCCATGGATGGATGGATGGATAGATGGACGGACAAACAGACACATACAGATCTGGGAGAAAGAAGCTTTAATCCTTCGCACTGCCTCCATTTCCCCTTGAAGCTGTTGTTGTCTATTTTGCCATGCAGGACACAGAGGGAAGGATGCAATTTTTGTGGAAGTGCAACAGCAGCAACCATTCAGTTTGCAATTTAAGAGTTAACCCTGTTGGTGCTGAAGACAGCCAACCAAGAGGGTTATTTGGGAGCATTGCTTAGCAACCAGTGAGGAGGTATGATCCTTGATGAGGTAACTTGTATGTGAAATAACGTTTTGGGTGGTATTCAACGAAATGAATGTGCAGGCGGAATGACGTTGGCTTGTGCAACTGGACTTCGCTTCCCACCACACCCTGTGTCATCCTCAAAACTGCTGCGGAGCGTTGTAGTAAGCAGTGTCAGGTAGACATATTTTGAAGAATATCTATGAGATCCTTTTAACTGGAAGCTGAATTGGGAACCTCCTCTGTACACCCCCCACCAAGAAGCTACAACTACTTCAAAAACCCTCCTTATTTGAATAGAGGGAAATCACCATCCAGCCAAGCCCAGAGGTGTTTTCTCTTTGTTTTTCTTGTGCGTTCTCCTGGTAACCAGGTGTATACCTTTATTTTGGACATCAGGAGACAGGAATCATAGGTGTGCCTTCTTTGTTCAGACCTGTCCTGCTAGCTAATCATTTTTTAACACCCATTCATTTTCATTTTATTGTGGGTTTCTTTTTTCGCATTCCTTGGAGAGCGTGGCGAACGCTCCACCCTTTCATCACCACTGCAGGGGAATCAGCGCTCCGAGCAGCGACTTGCGAAAGTGAAAGGTGACTTCAGCCTGATACCTTACCTCTGAGCGATTTATGGAGTCCTCGTCTCACCACAATTCCACATTGGATGGGACAGGCGGGCAGTGGCATTTGCTGTTACACCTCAGGCTTGTCTCTTGCAGCCGACCAACATGCTTGCCCCTCTAGAGACTGAATCAAGCACAGGGAGGCAGCCCTTGAAACAACATGCATTTTAACATCCCCAGGACAACAGTGTGTTTGCCCCTTAGAGAACAAGCATTTAAGTTGGCTGTGCCTGCCCCTCCAATGCTGCTGCCACTGCAAGGGTATTCCAGTAAAGGAATCCAGGGGCTCGCCATGCTCTTGTCTGAACCCCTGGCAAGGGGCTAGGGCCACGCAAAAACCCCTGGGAGCATTTGGGGAGAGGTGAGGGTCTGGCACCGAGCTCCAGTTTCTCCCCAAAATGTTTTCCCTTACTGACTTCGCAGGTTTCCCCTGGGCGGGGACAGATAGTCGCAACCAATGCCTAAGCAACCACTCGCATTTTGTATTTTAATAAAGTTGTGGCGAAAATTATGCCAAAAAACCTTAAACAAAAATTCTTGTGTGAAGTATGAATTAATTTGGGGGTGGCTTGGGGACACACGATGAATTCTGCATGGAAAGAAACACTTTCTTTTGTCTGGCGGGAATCATCGAACCTTCAGCTTGATTGGATGTCCCCAAGTCTTAATGTTATGGGAAGGTGAAAATGGATGCTCACTGCTTCCCTGATGGGCGTCAGTTGCAAACCTTTGCTCTCTGCCTCCTTCTCCGCCTGGTCACCAGCTGAGTGGAAATGCCATTGGAACCATAGGGGCGTTACCTCCCGACCAGTAGCTGGGTTCAAATGACCCAATCAGGACCCAGGGCTTTGAGAATTCCTTTACTGTTCACAGCCAAGACCAGCTGAGCAGCGACACCTAAAAGGGCCAGTTGTGCTAAAATCCTGGCTCGACATGCAGTGGTTTCAGCCCCCCCAAAAGGTAAAGTACCCCTGGATAGTTAAGTCCAGGCAAAGGCGACTATGGGGTTGTGGCACTCATCTCGCTTTCAGGCTGAGGGAGCCGGCGTTTGTCCAGAGACAGCTTTCTGGGTCATGTGGCCAGAAGGACTAAACCGCTTCTGGTGCAACAGGACACTGTGACGGAAACCAGAGCGCACGGAAATGCTGTTTACCTTCCCACCACAGTGGTACCTATTTATCTACTTGCACTGGCGTGCTTTCGAACTGCTATGTTGGCAGGAACTGGGACAGAGCAACAGGAGCTCACCCCATCGCAGGGATTCGAACTGCCGACCTTCTGATCGGCAAGCCCAAGAGGCTCAGTGGTTTAGACCACAGCGCCACCAGAGTCCCTTCAGCCCTCCAGCAAGAGGCTGAAATGGATATACACCCAATGCCTGAGCCAAAGATCCACCTACACCTGTAATCAATAAGGTTGTGGCCATTTTCAATCCCATTGGTTGTCTACCTGAGTCTGTTCTGCCACAGGTCAGCTGGTCGCTGGCTTGGGGTTGGGGAGGATAGCTCTGTGACTGGGCCTGCAAACTTTTCCTCACTTTATTCACACCATGAGTAATTTTACACACCTCTATAACATCCCCACTTACTTGCCTTTTCTCTGAACCAAAAAGCCCTAAATGTTGCAACCTTTCCTCGCAGCGGAGTTGCTTCATCCCCTCGATCTTTTTGCTTCCTCATTTCTGAACCTTTTCCAGCTCTTACAATACCCTTTTTGAGGTGACCGTACCAGAACAGTTCATAGTACAATATTCCAAGTGTAATCACACCATAAGGTAAAGGGAAAGGGACCTCTGACAGTTCAGTCCAGTCACGAATGACTCTGGGGTTGCGGCGCTCATCTCGCTTTATTGGCCAAGGGAGCCGGCGTTTGTCCACAGACAGCTTCTGGGTCATGTGGCCAGCATGACTAAGCCGCTTCTGGTGAAACCAGAGCAGTGCACGGAAACGCCGTTTACCTTCCCGCCGGAGTTGTACCTATTTATCTACTTGCAATTTGTACCACCGACCTTTTGATCGGCAAGCCCAAGAGGCTCAGTTGTTTAGACCACAGCGTCCCATAACTACACCATAGGTTTGTAATAATGGCAGGGTTATTCTCAATCTACCTATGTCCTAAGGATTCCTAGCATGGCATTCACCTGTTTCACAGCTGCCACATACTTGTTTGACATCTTCATGAAGCTATCCGCTACAAGCCCAAGGTCTCATTCCTGGACAGCCATTATGAGTTAACCCACCCCCATGAGCATATATGTGAAATATAATTCCCCCCCCCCCATTGTGCAGCACTTTGCAGTTGCATTTACCATTTTACTGTTTTAACCACCCTGTTAAGAAGCAGTTCTTTTGCTTCTGGTTCTAGCATGTAATTAAGAACTGCGTTTCCTCTTACTGAGGCAACACTAACTTCCTCTGTTTAGCAATAAAAATGAGAGTTGCTAAGTGTCTGGACATGAGTAATTAATCAAGACACATAATTATACAATGTTCCGCTAATAAAATTCTAGTTCTTTCATAAAACTGAATTATCCAACAATACAATTCAGAGGTCTTTGAAATAAATATAAAACTATGAAATATTAGTTCTTTGTATACTGAGCCAACCAGAAATGGAGTAACCACCCATTTTCAGTTGTAATAATTTCAAAGTACAGTGGTACCTCGGGTTACATACACTTCAGGTTACATACGCTTCAGGTTACAGACTCCGCTAACCCAGCAATATTACCTCGGGTTAAGAACTTTGCTTCAGGATGAGAACACGGCGGCAGCAGGAGGCCCCATTAGCTAAAGTGGTGCTTCAGGTTAAGAACAGTTTCAGGTTAAGAACGGACCTCCGGAACGAATTAAGTACTTAACCTGAGGTACCACTGTATGTACTTCACATTCATTCAGGGAAAATATGTTTTATAGGATGGTGAATTTGTGGCTCTCCAGATTCTGGACTACAACTTCCATCAGACATAGTGGCCAACAGCAAAGTTTATGGGAGTTGTAGTCCCAACAACTGAAGGACCACAGATGAATATCTCTGCCTATGATCTCCCTAAACTACGAAGCTCTTCCAGCAAGTTGAATTAAGAAGAAAGTGGTGGCAGAACAGGGACTTCCCCTGCACACGAGACCAATAGTGGGCCAGAGGTTGAGAAGGCGTTTTCTGCATGTGCTCAAGAGGAAAGTGGGGGGCAGATGGGGCTCGTCAACCTGGGAAGGTTGCCCATCTAGGAGAAGGAAAACTCTGATCCTCTGCCTCCTCTGCCTTACAGGATATCTTCAGGAGAAGAAAAGGCCAAGGGGTTCCCAGACTGTGGTCAGGGGGCCACCAGTATCCTGTGAACTTCATTCAGGTGAATTTTAATCTGTTTCAGTATTTTAACTTTCTGTATGTTCTGAAGCATTGTTGTCACTCTTTCTTGATTTTATTGTTTTATCTCTACCAAGTGGCATATACATGTTATGAAACAAAAACGTACAAATAAATGTATTTTGCTCTTTTTCTTTCTCATGTTGCATTACTCTTTGGATTCTGGGGAATGCAAACTGTGATGAAATAAAATACAATATAAGAAAGAAAAGAAGCAACAAAAGTACAACGGTAAATCATACAGCATGCAGCACACTGCATTCCAATTGCTGTAAGAAGCAGAAAAATATTAGCTGGTCTGCTAAGACCAGCAACAATTTTCAAGTAGTCCATGGTGGTGGGTGGGGAGTGGAGTTTGAGAACTAGTGCTTTAGGCCAATAATTTCTGTAAAGTGTTCTGTAAGTCCACCAAATCTACTTGTGTTTGTTATGTAATAACCTTTTATGTTACATATAGGTTAGGTTAATTGCATACAACTATGATACACATAATTTTAACAGCAGTGCTGCAGGTGAGGAGTCATATGTAATTTGCCTAAGTGCTCATGAAAGACACTGTATAATTATATTTTTATAAAGGAAGTTCAGAGACATTTACAGGTCTTCTTGTGGTGGATCCCTGCCAGATAGAGGACATGCCAGTATCCAACACAATTTGGCCACAGTCTAGAAAAAATCTTCAATGTTGGAGGCTGCGGAGTGTCACGATTATCATTGTTGCATCAGTACAGACCTCTGCGTAAATGCTCAGATCCGGACGTCATCGCTGAAGCTTCCAAACCTGACCAGAATCCCTTTGGTTAAGCAAGTAGGCGACGTCTGAAATAAGAGAATGGCGTGCATTCCAGAAGCTTGGAAGAATCTGAACTACAAAATGGCACTGCTCTCTAGAGCAGAGCAAACGAGGTCCGCCCATTCACAGTGCTGAAAGCAAATTCTATCTCATACTTTATGGGGCCATTTTAACTTCCTGTTATATATTCTCAGTCTTCAGGTCTTTGTTTTTCAAACAGAAGTGCTGAAATCATTTGTGGGTTCAGAAATTAGGAAGAGAGATGGATTGTGTCATATGTTTCATCCTCCCATGGAGTCAGGATTATACCGGTTTGTATAATCTTAGTGGTTTGCTCGGTCTAGCAACAATGTGACTCAAACAAAAGGACTTACAAAATTTCCTTAGGACTACTTTTTTTTTTAATACAACAACTATGTAATGACTCCATCCATTAACCCTTTATATGGCTGCTAAATGGAGAAAAGAAATGGAGGCAGTGAGAGATTTTACTTTCTTGGGCTCCATGATCACTGCAGATGGTGACAGCAGCCACAAAATTAAAAGACGCCTGCTTCTTGGGAGAAAAGCAATGACAAACCTAGACAGCATCTTAAAAAGCAGAGACATCACCTTGCCAACAAAGGTCCGTATAGTAAAAGCTATGGTTTTCCAGTAGTGATGTATGGAAGTGAGAGCTGGACCATAAAGAAGGCTGATCGCCAAAGAATTGATGCTTTTGAATTATGGTGCTGGAGGAGACTCTTGAAAGTCCCATGGACTGCAAGAAGAACAAACCTATCCATTCTGAAGGAAATCAGCCCTGAGTGCTCACTGGAAGGACAGATCCTGAAGCTGAGGCTCCAATATTTTGGCCACCTCATGAGAAGAGAAGACTCCCTGGAAAAGACCCTGATGTTGGGAAAGATGGAGGGCACAAGGAGAAGGGGACGACAGAGGACGAGATGGTTGGATAGTGTTCTCGAAGCTGCCAGCATGGAAGACAGAAGTGCCTGGCGTTTTCTGGTCCATGGGGTCACGAAGAGTTGGACACGACTGAATGACTAAACAACAACATGTAATGACTCCATCCATTAACCCTTTATATGGCTGCTAAATGCTCCTTTCTTAATTACAATGAACCACTCCTATTTCTTAACAGCCCAAGGGCCCCTTCATATATCACCATAGCAGTGCAAGACCTGCTTTCCTGTAGGTTTGTCCCACACCACCAAGCTAATGTTTGAAGATCCATAGCCACGTGGCTGGAGCCACTCATGTTAGGCACCTCCCATACAGACAGGTGGCAACTGGGTGGGAAGGAATCATTTGGTCAGCTTCCAGATGTTACAGTGAGGGCACAGGAAAAAGTCACAGTGGTAAGCCTTCTGTAGTAAGGTAAGGCATAAGGTGGCCCCAGATGACTTATATTTCTTCAGAAGTCAACAAAACCATGCTGGATTTCTCCACTTCTGCACTGGAACTTGTATTTGTCTTGACATTCAGCTTCCTGGGAATCTTAACTTTTGAACATTTTGTTATTAAGCTCCTAGTCCACATGGCCAAACCACCATGTATGGTAGAGCTTCTGAGGTGCCACTACAGAAAACACCCTGTCTCAAGTCACTGCGGTTACTGGAAGGACCTCTCAAGGAGATTTCAGTGCTTCGGCGGGTGGTTGTTGTCGTTTTGTTGTTGTTGTCGTTTTATTGAATTTACAGTGGTACCTCGGGTTAATGATGCTTCAGGTTACAGATGCTTCAGGTTACAGACTCCACCAACCCAGAAATAGTACCTCAGGTTAAGGACTTTGCTTCAGGATGAGAACAGAAATTGTGCAGCAGCGGCATGGCAGCAGCAGGAGGCCCCATTAGCTAAAGTGATACCTCAGGTTAAGAACAGTTTCAGGTTAAGAACGGACCTCCAGAAAGAATTAAGTTCTTAACCCGAGGTACCACTGTATATATACTGCACTATACCCGGAGGTCTCAGGGCGGTTCACAGAATAAAATCAAGATATAGAACCACAAAATACATAAAAATAAAAATAACAACCCAATAGCTCCCCCCCCAAAAAAACACATTTGAAAAGGACACAGGGTGTAGATCAGATCAACCAAAGACCTGGTTAAAAAGGAACGTTTTTGCCTTGTGCCTAAAGGTATATAATGAAGGCTCCAGGTGAACTTCCCTGGGGAGAGCATTCCACAGGCGGGGAGCCACTGTAGAGAAGGCCCTGTTCTTGTGTTGCCACTCTCTGGACTTCTCAGGGAGGAGGCACACGAAGAAGGGCTCAGAAGATGATCTCAGGGTCTGGGTAGGTTCATATGGAAAGAGGTATTGCGATCCCGAGCCTTTTAAAGCTTTATAGGTCAAAACCAGCACTTTGAATTGGGTCCGGAAACTAATTGGTAGCCAGTGCAGTCAGACCAGGATCGGTGTAATATGCTCAAACCGTCTTGTTCTGGTGAGCAACCTGGCCTCCGAATTCTACACTAGCTGAAGTTTCCGAAACGTTTTCAGAGGCAGCCCTACGTATAACGCATTGCAGTAATCTAACCTTGATATAGGTTGATATAGGAAGAAGCACTCCTCCTTGAATCCCAAGTCGTCTAGGGCTTGATATGTTCAGCAGCAACACCTTGAACTGGACTTGGGAGTGTACAGGCAACCAATGCAGACCTCATAACACCGGTATTATATGGTTAAAATTGGCTATTTTGCTCAACACTCAGGTGTCACATTCCATATGTGTCAGAGCTCCAGGCTATTTACAAGGGTATATCTATGCAGAGGGACGCGGGTGGTGCTGTGGGTTAAACTACAGAGCCTAGGACTTGCTGATCAGAAGGTCAGCGGTTCGAATCCCCGTGACGGGGTGAGCTCCTGTTGCTCGGTCCCTGCTCCTGCCAACCTAGCAGTTCGAAAGCATGTCAAAGTGCAAGTAGATAAATAGGTACCGCTCTGGCGGGAAGGTAAACGATGTTTCCGGGCGCTGCTCTGGTTCGCCAGAAGGGGCTTAGTCATGCTGGCCACATGATCTGGGAGCTGTATGCCGGCTCTCTTGGCCAATAAAGCGAGATGAGCACCGCAACCCCAGAGTCGTCCGCGACTGGACCTAATGGTCAGGGGTCCCTTTACCTTTATATCTATGCAGAATGCACTACTTGGAAGTAAGACATGTATAAGACTGCTCTGCTAACTACAGTGGTACCTCGGTTTAAGAACAGTCCGGTTTAACAACGATTTGGTTTACAAATTCCGCAAAACTGGAAATAGCGTCTTGGTTTGAGAACTTTACCTTGGTCTAAGAATAGAATTTGAACGGTGGAGGGGAACTGGCGGTGGGAAGCCTCATTAGGGAAAGTATGCCTTGGTTTAAGAACGGTTTTGATTTAAGAACGGACTTCTGGAACGGATGAAGTTCGTAAACCATGGTACCACTGTACTTAGAAAATGTTAAGAGTGATAGAAATAACAAAACAAATAGAAGCAAACCTTTTTTTCACAGCCGATCTCTTGATTTAGATATCATCTAGCTAGAGTTCATTACACCCCCTTACCCCAGGGCAGGGTGGCAAAATGGCCCCTTTTCACTTCCTGGCCCCCTTTCATAACCGGCTTAACTTTAGTTGTCAAAGCATGTTTCTCTTCAACGGAAGATTCCTGCTTTGTTTAGTTTCTGCGTCTTCTTCCTAGCAACTATTTTAAGGGCTCTCCTGTTTCATCAACTCTACATTCTGCATGTTGAGTTTCAAGTAGGACATGTGTTGGTTAACATCTGAATACATTCTCAAGAAATGGTCAGGCTGGAACACAAGGGTCTTGCGTAGATTTATGAAAAAGGTAGTGGGAGCAGCTCTTGGGGGTTTCAGGTAGAGTTCTGGAGATGCTCTACTATGGTCTAAAGCCCTTCTCCACAAGTATTAAGTAGGTATATACCGAATTACAATGTTGGGAATCCAGGCTAGGTTATGTGGTTTCATTCTGAATTTCATCCTTAATTCCCCATTTTCCCCTTCAGCCATTGCACCTGGAAGGGTGTGGGAGAGATATGCTTTGGTTGGCAAATTCACTCTATTCTCTAGCACCAGGTATTCTCCACCCTGCCTATCACCTTTTTGCAAGAGAGCATTTCTTTCCTTGTGGAGGTAGCAAGAGATTTGTGTTACCGATGATGGTGGTGGTGATGAGGATGATAATTGTACTAACAATAATTTATTTATACCCCGCCCATCTGGGTGGGTTTCGCCAGCCACTCTGGGCAGCTTACAACAAAATATTAAAATGCAATAATTCATCAAATATTAAAAGCTTCCCTAATCAGGGTTGCCTTCAGATGTCTTCTAAAAGTCAGATAATTGTTTATTTCCTTGACATCTGATGGGAGAGTGTTCCACAGGGCAGGTGCCACTACTGAGAAGGCCCTCTGCCAGGTTCCCTGTAACCTTGCTTCTCGCAGTGAGGGAACCGCCAGAAGGCTCTCAGTGCTGGATCTCAGTGTCCGGGCTGAATGATAGGGGTGGAGATGCTCCTTCAGGTACACTGGACCGAGGCTGTTTAGGGCTTTAAAGGTCAGCACCAACACTTTGAATTGTGCTCAGAAACATACTGGGAGCCAATGCAGGTCTTTCATGACTGGTATTATATGGTCTCGGTGGCCGCTCCCTGTCACCAGTCTAGTGCTTGTCGCATTCTGGATTAGTTGTAGTTTCCGGGTCACTTTCAAAGGTAGCCCCACGCAGAGCGCATTGCAGTAGTCCAAGCGGGAGATAACCAGAGCATGCACCACTCTGGTGAGACAGGCTGCGGGCAGGTAGGGTCTTAGCCTGCATACCAGAGCTTTATAATCACCCTATATCGCGGGGACTAGTACATTTGAAACCTAAAAATGAATTCATCCTGGCTCCTTAAATTTTATGTTAGAGCATAAGTAAATAACGCAAGCAGCCCCATGCCAAATCCCCCTGTCCCATAATATCTAGGACAGCATGTCCCATGCACTGACATCACTACATTGAGAGTACCAACTACTGGTAGTAGAGGCAGGGAAACACCCAGAATTGTGATGTTAGAACATGAGGCAAGTTGTACTAGACCAGGCCTGCTCACCAAGCACAATGCACCCAACTAGTCATGCAATGTAGCTTCCCAAGTGCTTGGCAACTCCATGATTCTGCAAGGCCACACAAGGTGGTGGAGATCATGGTGGTCCACCATACAGGTTCAATGGGTTGCATTGGGCTTGATGAATCAAAAGTTGTGCTGGCCTGTTATTGGAAGAGCCATAGCTCAGAGGCAGAGAATTTGCTTCGCATGCAAAAGGTTCCAGGTTCAATCCCTGGCATCTCTAGATAGGGGAAAATAACATTATTATTATTATTATTATTATTATTATTATTTATTTTTATTCATTTTTTAATATATCATTTTCAATAGTCATTCAACATAGGCTGCATCTTACAAAGTTTTTTTGGACTTCCATCAACCACATCTGAAAATTTTCCAATTTTTCCACTTAATTTACATTTCTTAATTTCACTGTTGCTTTTAATGATCTTATCTATTGACTCTCTCATCATAGCCTTCCTCACAATATTTCATATATTCCTCCTTACAAAACTTCTTGCAGTCCTACTAGTGTAATCTGTTGATTACAGTTGCTTTTCAAATAGTTCGCATATGTATTCCAGTCTTCTGAGAATCTCTGGTCCCGCAGGTTTCAAATCCTTCTTATCTAATTCTGCATAGTCCATTAATATAATTTATTTTTTATTATGTGTCTTATATTTTTATGTGATGAACTGTCCTGAAATTTCCCGATGATGGATAGCATACAGCAGGCTTCCTCAAACTCAGATGTTTTTGGCCTACAACTCCCATGATCCTTAGCTAGCAGGACCAGTGGTCAGGGATGATGGGAACTATAGTCTCAAAACATCCGGAGGGCTGAATTTGAGGAAGCCTGCTATACAGATTTAATAAATACTACTAATAATAATACACTTTGCAGTTTCCTACTAAACCCTGCTCTCTCTCTCTCATCTTACTCTCCTGTTTGAGGCAGCCATGGAAAAATCTTCCACCATGCAGGCTTAGAATCCAAAGTCATCCTTTTAAATATGAAGAAAATGTAAGCAACGAACCTTTTTTTTTTTTACCAATGGTACCTTCATGCTTTGTTTTGTTTTGTTTATTTTTGTTTTTAACCATTTTAAGCAATGCTAGTGATGTTTGAACGAGATAAAATGGGTGGTGGGTAGCTCCAACTTCCAGACATTTACGTAACTCTGCTATAAACTACAGTGGTACCTCAGGTTAAGTACTTAATTCGTTCCGGAGGTCCGTTCTTAACCTGAAGCACCACTTTAGCTAATGGGGCCTCCTGCTGCCGCCACGCTGCCGGAGCACGATTTCTGTTCTTATCCTGAAGCAAAGTTCTTAACCTGAAGCACTATTTCTGGGTTAGCGGAGTCTGTAACCTGAAGTGTGTGTAACCTGAAGCGTATGTAACCCGAGGTACTACTGTATAGCCATTGTTTAAAAAAATTAAACCCCAGAAAATCAACATTCTGGGCAATCAACCACTGCTTTAACCCATCCGTGTCAGAGTGCAAAAGCTTAAACATATTAGAGGGGAAATGTCATATTGGTGGTTTGTGGTTTTTATAGGGACCTAAGACTTTACACAGCCTTTTTCTAGGTGATTTGAACAGGTATTCTGTTGAAACAACAGCCAAGAGGGTAACCTTTGATTATGAAACTTCAAAGGATGAGCAAGCATTAGCGGCGTAACAAAATAATGTCTTTAGTTGCTATATATGGCTGTGAGATTTCTCTTCTCCTAGACCACCGGGGATATATCAAACATGACTCAAGGTCTATTCTAAGGGTAATCTGGGGGCATAGTAACCACAGAGGAATCTCCTGTATGTTGGTGTCATGACAAACTTACCCTGTGGCCAGTAAATTGAACGCAAAGAGCTAAGAATGACATTTAGCCCTCTTCTGGCTTCCAGTTGAAACAGCCATTTATGGAGCAGATACCCGGTGCAAACAGACGATGCTCTATACCTGTGTCTCCAAGCTGCTTTGCCCTATGTGCCAGTCCTTGTTGTTGTTGTTGTTTAGTCGTTTAGTCGTGTCTGACTCTTCGTGACCCCATGGACCAGAGCATACCAGGCACTCCTGTCGTCCACTGCCTCCCGCAGTTTGGTCAAACTCATGCTGATAGCTTTGAGAACCATCTCGTCCTCTGTCGTCCCCTTCTCCTTGTGCCCTCCATCTTTCCCAACGTCAGGGTCTTTTCCAGGGAGTCTTCTCTTCTCATGAGGTGGCCAAAGTATTGGAGCCTCAGCTTCAGGATCTGTCCTTCCAGTGAGCACTCAGGGCTGATTTCCTTCAGAATGGATAGGTTTGATCTTCTTGCAGTCCATGGGACTCTCAAGAGTCTCCTCCAGCACCATAATTCAATTCTTCGGCAACCAGCCTTCTTTATGGCCCAGCTTTCACTTCCATACTTACCCCTTATTTACCCCTTAAATTGGCAGTAGTCAGGTTGTGACTAGCAGAGCACACTAACAGAAATATGATGGAGAAATGCGGCTACAGTGAACCAATCTAATTTGTACTTCCTGAATCACTATGCGGACATGCAGCTATTCTTTGAAATTTGCGCTTTATGAATGTTGCAAATCAGTGCTCCAACACGCGCACACCCCCAAAAAATGTGCACATAATATTTGAAGGACAATTGTAAACAGTTAACAACACTAGCAGGGTTGATTTAAAAAGACTTGTAAAGTTAATGATTATTGCCTTTTTATATTTATTTAAAACTTGTGATAACAGAAATGAGTGAAATGTAAAATTGGAAGAGGTACAAACGCTATGACATCAACATGAAATATGAAAACCATGAAGCAGGAGAAAGGGAAGTCCATTAGCTCACACGAGCAAAAAATAATAATGAGATAACAATAAGGATGTATTTAAATATTACAAAACGGAAAACAATAAAAATATTATTTTTAAAAATGTGCACATTGCGAGAAACAATGCGTATGTTGGTGAAAATAAAATACAAAAATGTATTATATAAGGGGAAATTATTATAGTAGGAAAAATATTTCTTATTTTCACAATACAGTCATACCTCTTGTTACGTCTGCTTCAGGTTGCATACTGCGGTGACCTGGAAGTACTGGAAAGGGTTACTTCCAGGTTTCGCCGCTTGCGCAGATGTGCAAAATGACATCACGCACATGCACAGAAGTGGCGAATCATGACCCGCGCATGCGCAGTCACGGGTTGTGTTCTGTTCAGGTTGTGAACAGGGCTCCGGAACGGATCCTGTTCGCAACCTGAGGTACCACTGTAATTTGTTTTGATACAGTTGCTTTTTAAATGTATCTTCTCCATAGGTACCCGTATAAATATAGAAACATAGAACTGCAGAGCTGGAAAGGACTCTGATGATCATTAGTCCAACTCCTTGCAATGCAGGAATATGCAGCTAGTGATTGAGCCTTTGGTGTTATCAGCACCACACTCTAACCACCTGAAGATATCCAGGCTCATCCAGGTATGATGATGATGATGATGATGCCCTCTCACCTCAGTTCCCTGTGCCACCCATGCCACCTTAAATCCAGTGCTAGTGTGCTCACTGCACCTTTAAGGTGTGTTTGTCTTCTCTCTCTGTGTGTGTTGGCGTGTTCATGTGTGCACATGCAAGACTGTGTGCAAGAGAGACCGTGCCCAAAGGTAAAGTTAAAGGACCCCTGGACGGTTTAATCACTTTATAATTATTCTCAGTGGAGAGAAGTGGGGTTTCTCAACAGGTTGAGGAGGTGTTTCCACCTTTTGACAGGGAGAGTTAGACAAATCCAGGGACTCCAGTAGAGGGTGTCTGGCTGGTTTGGTTCTGGGAACATAGGTTAAAAAAAATGGTAAAGGACCCCTGGACGGTTAAGCCCAGTCAAAGGCGACTATGGGGTTGCGGCGCTCATCTCGCTTTCAGGCCGAGGGGTACCGGCGTTTGTCCACAGACAGCTTTCCTGGTCATGTGGCTAGCAGGACTGAACCGCTTCTGGTGCAATGGGACGCTGTGACAGAAACCAGAGCACACAGTAACACCGTTTACCTTCCTGCCATAGCAGTACCTATTTATCTACTTGCACTTTGACGTGCTTTCGAACAGCTAGGTTGGCAGGAGCTGGGACAGAGCAACGGGAGCTCACCCCGTCGCAGGGATTCGAACTGCCGACCTTCTGATCGGCAAGCCCAAGAGGCTCAGTGGTTTAGACCACAGCGCCACCCGCGTCCCTGTGACCATGCCTAGTACCAGTATGTGGCCCCTGGAGGTCTGGCCAAGGGCAAATATGGCCCTCAGACCAAGCCAATCAGCCACTCCTCCTTTAAGAGCAAGTCGGTGCAGCATAATCCTATGGATGCAAATAATCTAGACACCCCATAGTGCCTTTTAAAAGGTAGGAGTGTTGCAGCAGCACCTGGGATGCTGACAGCAATGACTTACAGTTCAGCATCAGCTTCCTTGCACCACTCTGTTAACCATTGCCTGGCAGGGAGGCTTAATATGTGGAGGGAATAAACCAGAATGCACCAACCAGAACAGGTATGCTCAGTTTCCCCTCTCTCCCTGCAACCGGGCTCCCAGAAAACGCTGCTGGAGACTTTTGCACAGAAACTTAATGGAGCTGCCCGAGCCTGCGTCAGCTAAGCGTTTATCACTACAGTCTTCATTCATTAAAACTACTCATGTGTAGAATACCGTAGCTGTTGCAAATATCAGAGAGGCGATCAGTTCTCAACTATTAATGTGTAACTCAGGGACACGAATATCACCTGTGGAATTTAGACAGCTGTATGGAAAGATGAATGTCTTCCTCAATAAAGTGCACAAATCTCTGCCCCTTTATGTTAGGTATGTCGTCAGTGGCCCCTTCCCACTTCAGCCATATTTTCATTGCTCCGTTTCACACTCGCATTCTGATTATCCAGGGGCAAATGTTCTGTCGGGCTTACTGTGCACCTGAAAAGGAAGTATCAGAAACATTAGCTTTTTGTAATTCAGTAATAATGCATGCTCTTTGGACCTTAACTGTTCAGCGAATGCTACTGTTGAATAATCTTAGTGGCTTGAGATATTCAGCATAAATAAAAAGTCAAGATGCACTTTAGGCAAATATTCGTACAAGTAGCGAATAGAAAGCGCTGTAAAATCTACATTAAACTCAAGAATTCGTTCATCCTTGCTTCTGCTTTTAAAAGGGATAGTCTATCCCCCTGCGCGCAAAGTCCAAACAATTAGGATGCCTTTACAAAACAGCAACACCAAAAGCATTTGGTTTTTATTTAGTTATTCAAAACAGTTCTCTACTACCTTTCATCCAGGGCTTTTATTTTCAGCCGGGACGCACCAGAACTCAGTTCCGGCACCTCTCAGATGGGCGCCACTGCTATTATAAGAGAACAAGGTTCATGGTGAGTTCTGGCACCTCTTTTTCTAGAAAAATAGCACTGCTTTCATGTGTGTCGCAGCAGTTCTTAACCTGTGGGTCCCCAGATGTTGTTGGACTACAACTCCCATCATCCCTGAGCTCTGGCCTTGCTAGCTAGGGGTGATGGGAGTTGTAGTTCAACAACATCTGGGGACCCACAGGTTGAGAAAGGCTGGTCTAGGGCATGGGTAGGCAAACTAAGGCCCAGGGGCCGGATCTGGCCCAATTGCCTTCTAAATCCGGCCCGAGGATAGTCCAGGAATCAGCGTGTTTTTACATGAGCATTTTATTTAAAATGCATCTCTGGGTTATTTGTGGGGCCTGCCTGGTGTTTTTGCATGAGTAAAATGTTTGCTTTTAATTAAAATGCATCTCTAGGTTATTTGTGGGGCATAGGATTTCATATATTTTTTCCAAAATATAGTCCGGCCCCCCGCAAGGACTGAGGGACCCTGGACTGGCCCCCTGCTGAAAAGGTTTGCTGACCCCTGGTCTAGGGTATGTCCCACCAAGGCTAGTGTTTTTGAAGGAGGTTATCTGGATGAGTTAATTTCTTAAAGGACAGGTTTTTTACAAGCAAGAAAAGCACCGTAGCTTTTCCACCTTCATACAAAACAAGGCATCATTCATTATATTCTGTGGCACTCTGTTCCTACAACCACCGTCGGAGTTTCCTGTGTTTCGCTCACTGATGCAATGGTAACTTCTGCTGCGGTGGGATGCCAGGAAACAAAACTGAGATTTCAGTAACGGAATATTATTTTTGGAGGCAACGTGTTCATGGAGTGAATGCAGGTCAGCTTTTACTCATTTACTGAAAAATCCGTTGAACCTTCTAACTAGGTTATTTCATATTGAATTTCCTGTGGCGATACTGACTTTCTTTGCTCGGAAGGGAAGCACTGAACCAATACTTGTTTTAAAGAGAGGTACGGGGTTTTGCAGGGAGGGGGGAGTTTGGAAGAAAATGTTGGTGCCCTCCAGAACCACAGCCTTAGCCCTGCAAAGTCCTCCTTCATATTTAGTTTTTTGACAGGCGTAAGTAGCAAGTGATTGTGTTCTTCACCCTTGAAATATCTGCTTCTTTGCAGATATTTTTTATAAAACAATTCTGGAAATATTGAAAGCTGATGGTTATTATCTCTGTCTTTTGACACCGGTCTTTTAACACATAGAGAGAGACACTCTTCTCATTTTGGTTTGCGATAGCTCAAACTGTACCTTTAATGCCGTCCCACCTTTCGTGCCAATCATTCAACAAACTGAAAAGAAAAAGAAAAGAAAATGGATGAAAAAGGGACAGTTTTGTTAAATCTTACATATTATTAAGGGTATGATTATAGAACAGTCATGGGAAGCAGTGACATAGCATGGGGGGCACATGGGTGGTTTAGGGGAGTTTTTAATGTTTGACTTTTTCTTGTGTTTTTAATATCCTGTTGGAAGCCGCCCAGAGTGGCTGGGGAGGCCCAGCCAGATGGGCGGGGTGTAAGTAATAAATTCTCCTCCCCCTGCTCTTCCTCTTCCTCCTCCTCCTCCTCCTCCTTCTTCTTCTCCTGGCGCAAAATTGTTAGGGGCGCAAGATTTCAACACCCGGTGCCGCCTCACTACAGCTTCACGCTTCCGTCACTGGGCTCTGATGAAAACGGCTTCTCGCTGAGAACCTGGAAGTGACCTGGGAGGTTGAATGGTTTAACTTGGTACAAGGCAGAGCCAAATATAGCTGACCTAGTGAAAGGTTGCATGGGAGTCATCCTGCAGATCATTAAAAACCGAGTTCTCCCTGGAACAGTTCTTGGAAGTGTGAGCCCAAGACCAAGAACAGGAGCCAACACACATTCCATAGCGTGTCAGTTTAAGAACCAGCATTGCTTCGTTGTTTACATTGGGTTGTTTGGATTACACCTGATTGGAATGTGCACTAATTAGGTCTACCCTAGATAGGTTTCAGCTCAAGGAAAGGATGTCACCTCTTAGAGACTTTACAGACTTAAGAGAAACTCCCCTTACTTTCTCAAGTCATGATTACTGCCTGAATCACTACATTTCTTGGCTGGATTCCTCCCACCCCACCCCCTCAAGCAGCAATTGACGTCAACATTGCCAATCATTAATTCGTCAAGTTACAAGTTTGTAATTTGCACAAGTGCCTAAACGCTGAATACAAGCCCCATTAATCAAACATTCCAGAGTCTGTCGCTGCTACATAACAGTATCGCGGTGTTATTTTAAACAGTAATGAGGCTATTTATTTATTTTCAGAGTGGGGAAAAAAAGATTAGGAAAAGGAGTGAAAAGCTCAGATCATGGATTGTGAAAGAGCCATTTTGGGAGGGAGGGTTTTCCAAGGTGGGTTTCCCTTCTCTAGGGGTGAATGAGAGGTCAGCAGAGGTCCTGGGCATCTTCTGGCACGCAGGCCACCAGAAGGACAGAACTGCAAAACCAATGGGCCATTGAAGAGCACATTGTGAACAGCTCCACACTATACTACTACTACTACTACTAATAATAATTTATTATTTATACCCCGCCATCTGGCTGAGTTTCCCCAGCCACTCTGGGCGGCTCCCAATCAAGTATTAAAAGCAATACAGCGTTAAATATTAAAAACTTCCCTGAACAGGGCTGCCTTAAGATGTCTTCTGAATGTCAGGTAGTTGTTTATCTCTTTGACATCTGAAAAGAGGGCGTTCCACAGGGCGGGCGCGACTACCGAGAAGGCCCTCTGTCTGGTTCCCTGTAACCTCACTTCTCGCAATGAGGGAACCGCCAGAAGGCCCTCGGATCTCACTTTTCGGGCTGAATGATGGGGGTGGAGACGCTCCTTCAGGTATACTGGGCTGAGGCCGTTTAGGTCTTTAAAGGTCAGCACCAACACTTTGAATTGTGCTCGGAAATGTACTGGGAGCCAATGCAGATCTCTCAGAACCGGTGTTATGTGGTCCCGGCGGCCACTCCCAGTCACCAGTCTAGCTGCCGCATTCTGGATTAATTGCAGTTTCCGGGTCACCTCCAAAGGTAGCTCCACGTAGAGCACGTTGCAGTAGTCCAAGCAGGAGATAACTAGACAGCTGCCCTGGACAGCTGTCCCCCCCCCGTCCCCCCAAAACAGTACTTCTGTCTTGTCAGGATTCAACCTCAATCTGTTAGCTGTTACATAGCAAACATTTATTTTAACACCACTACAGCAAATGTATAGAGTACAAGTAACATATCATGTGTGTATCTACAACTCCCATGATCCCTAGCTAGCAGGACCAGTGGTCAGGGATGCTGGGTACCCTACCAGTGCTGTGACCCGGTGGACAACAGTGGGCAAACACAATCAAGACTCAAATGAGCCTCAACTAGAAAGTGGGAACTCAAAGTGCATGCACACAAATGGTGGCAAAAACATGGGGGCAAGTAACATGCCACAAATTGTGCAAATTTATTACGTTGCATTTCTGCTAGACATAATAATGGGTATCTAGGATGACAACCACAGGCTACAGCCTGTGCCCTTTGGCCTCGGAGGCTTCTTCTAAATTGCCAGCTGTAGGCTATTATGAATTCCTTTTTGAAGTGGGAAAAGCTCGTTATTAAGACATTATCTAACTGAAGCAACCGAAATAGCTGCATTGATCATTATCTTATGGCAATTAAGCTCAGAAATGTGACTGCTGTAAGAACAAAGTACGTTTATTTGTTGCTTCAACTCCCCACCCCCAAATACTACACAAGACCCAAAATAGCCTTACAATAATAATTATTCTCTCTGCAAACTATCATAAGACTGGGAGGATGGAAACGTATTTGCCAACCTGGGAGGTCTTGCTTTTGGGTTCATTCACTGGCTGATGTAAAACATTGTAGGATTTGCAGCAAAGCTTTCTTAGCGGCAACACTGCAGCTTGTAAACCCACCTGGCTTTTCTATACAGTGCAAGTCAAACAGTTGCATAAGCATCCCTATGTCAGCTTAGCAGGATCAGGGGATACATACTGTCCCGACATTGTACCAGTTATTCCCATGTGCCTTTTGAAGAGCCTAAGATCAAACCTATCCATTCTTAAGGAAATCAGCCCTGAGTGCTCACTGGTAGGACAGAACCTGAAGCTGAGGATCCAATACTTTGGCCACCTCATGAGAAGAGAAGACTCCCTGGAAAAGACCCTGATGTTGGGAAAGATGGAGGGTACAAGGAGAAGGGGACGACAGAGGACGAGATGGTTGGACAGTGTTCTCGAAGCTACCAGTATGAGTTTGACCAAACTGCGGGAGGCAGTGGAAGACAGAAGTGCCTGGCGTGCTCTGGTCCATGGGGTCACGAAGAGTCGGACACAACTAAACAACCAAACAACAACAACAAGAAGATGCTGAAATTTAGCAAGTGGGTTCCCCATTTGTTTTTGTTTTTTGTTTTTTTAAGGAAAAGACTCATCCGCTTTTTTCCCATGAGACAAGTTAAAGGCATGAGAGTTGGACCACTAAAAGAAAAGATGGCAACCCTAGTGGTGCTGTGTTTCATATGGTTGGCATACTTTGACACTGCAGAGTGAAACATGCTGTTGCTTACAGTCAGATCAATCTATTTCAGTATTGTCTAGGCTTGGGAAACCTATGGCACTCCAAATGCTAATGGTCTCCAACTCCCATCAGCTCCAGAAGCATGGCCAACAGCCTGGGATGATGTAGTCCGACAACATTTGGTGCGCCACAGGTTTTATACCTAGTCAATTCTGACTGGCAGCAGCTCTCCAGAGTTTCAAATAAGAATCATTCTCAGCCCGGCCTGTAGATGCTAAGGACTGAAGTTTGGACCTTCCATGTGTTCATAGAATCATAGAATTGTAGCGTTGGAAGGGACCCTGAGGATCATTTATTCCAACTCATTGCAATGCAGGAATATGCAGCTGTCCCATACAGGGATTGAACCTGCAACCATGGCATTATCTGTTAGAATTCCTGCTCCATGATTGCAGTCATGGGATTGTTGTCTATCACATGACGGTATATGTTTTGACTCCAGAGAGTGGGAAGTGATGGAGACAGGATGTTTGTGTTACTGTGTTCTGTGAAGTGGGACTATTGTCCTTTGTTCTTTTTGTGTTTGCTGTCTGATGCTAGAGAGAGAGGGAGCCATGTTGCAGTGCTCCGTGTGTGTTTATATGTAAATAAAGTAGATTAGTCAAAATGCTAAGTTGCTGAGGGCTGTTATGCAAGCTGCGCAAACTCTGTGGATCCCTAAGTGTGCCGATGTCTGTTGGCATCGGTCGCTGTGACGTTTGGGCAGAAGAAAGCTTTTAAAGCTCCCGAACGATCGACCAGGAGGGAGAGAACATGCCAGTTGGGCATGTGTCTCTGCCAGGGTCCTACTCGAGTGTAGGATGAGCTCCTGACATTATCAACATCACGCTCTAACCAACTGAGTTAAACATGTGCTGTACAATTGAGCCACATTCATTTCTGTGCAGGGTAGTTTTTCAGGATATATGTATAACGTGTTTTCCAATTATTCCAATTATTCCCTAAGCAGGCAACATGAATTAAAACACAAGCTTAGTGAAAGTTTACCCTAAAAAAAAAACACCACAGGGACATGCCCAAGGATTAAGACATTCTGGGAGATGATTTATAATGAAATGAAAAAGGTATTTAAATATACCTTCCTGAAGAAACCAGAGGCCTTTCTCCTGGGCATGGTCGGCCAATCGGTGCCAAAGAAGGATAGAACTTTTTTTATGTATGCAACAACAGCAGCAAGAATACTCATCGCGAAGTATTGGAAGACACAAGATTTACCCACCTGGGAAGAATGGCAGATGAAGTTGATGGACTATATGGAACTGGCGGAAATGACTGGCAGAATCCAAGACCAGGGAGAAGAGTCGGTGGAAGAAGATTGGAAAAAATTTAAAGATTACTTACAGAAATATTGTAAAATTAATGAATGTTAGAAAAATGTTGGAATGAAGTTATATGGCTTTAGTAGAAATGTTATAAGGAATTAAGTACAGATAGGTTAACAGAGCATTAAAGGAAAAATAAGGTTAGAATGAGTTAAGATAAATATAGGATAGAAAACAGAGGAAGATGGAAAGGAATTGCTGAAATAATTAATAGAAGTGGAATACAAAGAGGGAGGTGTGAGGAGGTCGTGGAAATAAGTGAATGAAAGATGGGATAATGAAATTGTTTGATTTATTTTATTGTTTTTGTTTTGTTTTGTTAATTTGATGTGTTGTATTGTATTGTCTTTTTAGTGTTTAAGTTTTTGGAAAAATAATAAATATTATTTAAAAAAACAAACAAAACAACAACACCACAGGTGCAACCAGGTGTCTGACTGTAGAGCAGAAGTGAAGCAAAGGCTCCATGACCTACAATGTTTGGCAGGGAAGAGAGGGGATTATATCTATGTTTGCATGGATAAAGTCACCCACACACACTGGAAAGAATTTTAGAGCAAATGTTCACCAGGAACCATCTGAGAAATATTTTCCCTTTCGTCTCAAATGCCAGTACTTGATCACTGGTGGATAATTCAAATGACTTTTACAACTGTAAACATATAGTAATCCCAGACATTAAAATGCATGCAAATGGTGATGTTCCTTTTGCTTTGCCATAAAATACAGCAGCTGAAGGCCATCTCCTTTGTAGAGAAAATATTTGGAGATCCACCCATGCTTGCCTAACATTGCTGTCATAGAAGTAAAGGATAGGAAAAGCACTTTTTCAAGTGAGTACTCTATTGTGAACAAGTCTGAAAAATATGTACCGTATATTTTCCTGCCCTCCTTTCTACAAATATTAGTGGCTGAAAGAAACTTTCTAGTTTAAGACCTGCAAAGGTCTGCCAGATTTAGACTGGACAAGGAGGGGACGACAGAGGACGAGATGGTTAGACAGTGTTCTCGAAGCTACCAGCATGAGTTTGACCAAATTGCAGGAGGCAGTGGAAGGCACTATCTGCCTCTGAGTTTTTTGTTCTATTAGAGTGGTACTTCGGGTTGCATACGCTTCAGGTTACATACGCTTCAGGTTACAGACTCTGCTAACCCAGAAATAGTAGCTCGGGTTAAGAACTTTGCTTTAGGATGAGAACAGAAATCGTGCTCCGGCGGCGCGGCAGCAGCAGGAGGCCCCATTAGTTAAAGTGGTGCTTCAGGTTAAGAACGGACCTCCGGAACGAATTAAGTACTTAACCCGAGGTACCACAGTACTCTCAAGGCTAGTTTCTCCCCTCTGCAGCCTCTGAACTATTACCTTCTGCAAATCGCTATTCTAAATCTATACTGTCCTCCTCTTCTCTGGAAGGTGCAGGAAGAGGGGGGCCGGTTCCAGGGCTGGATTTAGGTTTGATGAGGCCCTAAGCTTGTGAAGGTAATGGGGACCTTTATATGTCCAGCTGTCCTTTGTCAACAACAAATTGTCGCGGTTTTTTGTGTTGAATATTTGCTATATGGTAATTTATGGACCTAATAGGTCTCTAAAGCCATTTGCACATAACAAATAGGAGCCTCCACAACACAAAACACTGTTGCTGTTTGTAGGTTTTATTTTATTTGTTTTTCATCTTATATTTTGCAAATGTTTTTTTTTTTCTTTATTTTTTTGGGGGAGTACCAAGAGAGTGGGGCCCTAAGCTATAGCTTGTTCAGCTTATACGTAAATCCGGCACTGGTCGGTTCCCACCATTTCTCCTCAGTCCAGCCCCTGTCATCTGTTTGTTTCATTCAGTTTGAGAACAATGGTAGGAAAATTGTGTTTTTAGAAAGCGAGAGAAAGATGGAAGAGAGCAAGAGCATTCCTTCACCTGTTTAGCGCCCAGCAGGGTACTGGAAATGATGGGTGAAATTGCTTTAAAACACACACAGATACACACACACACACACACACACCCACCACAGCAAACTTTAGGACTGTCATCTAAATTCTTCAAAGTTTGCAACTCTAACTCTAACCATTAGCATCATCCACACAAAGCTGATATATTTGAAACGCAACCGAGTTTGGAATGTTTAATATTGACTGGATTTTGATAAATGATAACTGAAAGAGAACATAAAGAAGTGAAACTGAAGCAGGTTTGGGTCTTGGCCATAAAAAATAGGTGTGGGTAAAAAGCATTCCTTCCTTGAGGTGTTCTAATAATACTTCCTAGTTCTCCCCCCCCCCAAAAAAAAGCTTCTGTGAAAGAAATTAGAGCAAATCAGTCAGGCTATTTTTATTGGTGCAGTAGTATTTTGTTTTTTGCTTTGTTTATTTTGCATTCCTTGGACGTGCCTTGCCAGATTCAACAAATTCTCTGGAGGCATTTCTAATAAAGATATAATCACCAGGCTTGCTATTTATGGATTACTTTACAACAGTGTTCAGAGAGATTTGGAATACACTAATTACAGCTCCAGCTGCTGCTGGAATGGAAGCTGTTTTTTTTATTACATCTAAAGATACAAATGAGATCAACAAGCGAATGGTTGACATATTTCACACATTGCGGCAGCAAAATTGGTCATATTTTATATCAGCAGGAAAATTATGTTGATATGGGGGGGAGATATCAACTGAAAACCATTACATACGCTTCAGGTTACAGACGCTTCAGGTTACAGACTCCGCTAACCCAGAAATAGTACCTCAGGTTAAGAACTTTGCTTCAGGATGGGAACAGAAATCGTGCTCCGGCGGCGTGGCAGCAACAGGAGGCCCCATTAGCTAAAGTTGTGCTTCAGGTTAAGAACAGTTTCAGGTTAAGAACGGACCTCCGGAATGAATTAAGTACTTAACCTGAGGTACCACTGTACTGTAATACTATCCCAGTAAATTTGACTATTACATAGTTACTGGCAGGACTGACACTTCCATTTATATATCCTTTTCATTATGATTTTGTCTGCCTTTGTTGTTTTTGGAAGCAATAATATGGCATACAAAAATTAACTATTAACCTGCCATCTTACGGCCCTGTGGTCTAAACCACGGAGCCTCTTGGGCTTGCCGATCGGAAGGACTGCGGTTCGAATCCCCTCAATAAAGTGAGCTCCCGTTGCTCTGTCCCAGCTCCTGCCAGCCTAGGAATTCGAAAGCACACCAGTGCAAGTAGATAAATAAGTATTGCTGTGGTGGGAAGGTAAACGGCGTTTCCGGACGCTCTGGCACTTGTCATGGTCCTCCCTGCACCAGAAGCAGTTTAGTCCTGCTGGCCACATGACCCAGAAAACTGTCAGTGGACAAATGCCGACTCCCTCGGCCTGAAAGCGAGATGAGCGCCGCAACCCCATAGTCTCCTTTGACTGGACTTAACCGTCCAGGGGTCCTTTACCTTTTAACCTTATGGTCCCTTAGGTAAAGGGACCCCTGACCGTTAGGTCCAGTTGTGGCCGACTCTGGGGTTGCGGCGTTCATCTCGATTTATTGGCTGAGGGAGCCGACATACAGCTTCCGGGTCATGTGGCCAGCATGACTAAGCCGCTTCTGGCAAACCAGAGCAGCGCACAGAAACACCGTTTACCTTCCCGCCAGAGCGGTACCTATTTATCTACTTGCACTTTGACGTGCTTTCAAACTGCTAGGTTGGCAGGAGCAGGGACCGAGCAACGGGAGCTCACCCCGTCGTGGGGATTCGAACTGCCAACCTTCTGATCGGCAAGCCCTAGGCTCTGTGGTTTAACCCACAGTGCCACCCGTGTCCCTCAGGAGGGCATCCTATAGGCAATATCAGATTTCCTTCTCTGAGGAGACAGAGAAAGAGAGAAATCTCTTTTTGGATTGGAATGCCGGACTTCGGCATAACTTGGCTTGGTTTTTTGTTTTGCATAGGTTCAACCATCTCTTGAGATAACATTAAAAAAAAAACAACTCACCACAAGAGTTCCCAAGGTGAGGCAGCAGACTTTGCCCCCACTCAGATGCTGGGTGTCAGTTTGAATCAAGATGGTGCTCTGAAATGCAACTTTGGTGTGACTTTATTGGCACACACTAGGTTTGACTGCCTCTTGAGATAGCGTTTCCAAACTCAGCTTGAGGTTTCCTGGGGTCGGAGTGGTTGTTTTCATTGAGGTTTGGGTGCCGGGTCCCATTGTGATTCAAGATAGCAGACCAAAATGTAACTTTGGACTGGCTTCATCCCTTTTTGGTGTCGCAGGTCCAAACTCACAAATTGCACTATTGAAAAATCACATTTTAAAAAATAGTTTCTACAAATTCTGGGCAGTGCCAGGAACACCCCACTAGTCTGATATAAAAGTAGCCGGCCTATTTCACTATAAAAGCACACACTTCTTGCTTGGCCCATACACTTCAGGAGTAGAGCTGAGGTGAATCTCCCCTCCACATTCACTATCACAGAGTTTTATATCAAGTACTCTGAGCATTCACTATTTTATTTATTTATCAGTTGGCATGCAATGGTATTTAGTATTTAAGGGCAGATAAGCTGGCATCAAATAGTGTTTAGCAGTGCACCTTATTTGATTGTTTCCATGTAATAGCATTTAAAGCCTAATATAATATAATAAATTTATTTATACCCCTCCCATCTGGCTGGGTTTCCCCAGCCACTCTGGGTGGCTCCCAACAGAATAAAAAAGTGATAAAATATCAAACACTTAAAACTTCCTCAAACAGAGCTGCCTTCTTATGGCATTTTACATTTGATACTAGCCAAAATTTAAAAAATCAAACCATAATGACCAATCAAAAGTCAAATTTCTAATATTGAGGTAAAATCCTCCATTTACATTTCATGTTTGAAAATGTTGGTGAATTTCAAAGTTGTGAAAAAAAGAGTTTTGAATTTGGTGGTTACTAAAAATATAAATCAGTGTGACCTTAAATGGTTAGTGTTTCCAGCCTTCCTTTGACCTTTTATTCAATGACAACTCATGATGATGTTCCTTTGTTTACTCCTTTGTCAGAAAACAGAGAGTGATGTAAGCAGCAGACCCGAAGCAAAGTTAGGCAATGGACTGCTATTGTGGCTTTCCCTTATACGGAGGTGAGTGCTCCTTCTATCGGTTCTGTCCTATTTGAATCTCTAACATACAGCCAACCACTATCAGCTTTCTTGAACAATAAGCAACAAGTACTTAAAATTCCAAGGGAACGGGTCATGTATGACAGACAAATCTAATCAGAGTCATGTGTGGCTTTCAATTCTTTCACAGTGAGATGGAACATCACCCACTTTAAAATGAAACTAGTTTAACCAGGTAGTCTCAAACCTACATACAGTAACCCTCTTAGTTTCAACTTTGGAGGTAGTAGAAGACAAGAACTTGCTTGCTGTATTGCAAATAGGCAATATAGTTCCACCACAAGTGGTTTCACATGCACACAATATGTTTAAATGAGAATTCTAAATGGTAAAACATAAGATAGATAGATAGATAGATAGATAGATAGATAGATAGATAGACACACACATATATATTATATACATAATTTTATGTTTTAGAATTTAGAATCAAGGAAATCATTGATATTTTAAGGATGTTTATAAATGAGTATTCTAAATTTTAAAACAGAAAATATAATTATGTAAAGTTATATAATTTTCTGTTTTACAATTTAGAATGCTCATTTAAACATCCTTCAAATATCAATGATAATGATTTCCTTTCTTCTCTTTCCATGGTTCATTTTGCATATCATAAGTCCCTGCATATTTTACATAAACTACACCATTCAGTAGTCCATTATTACATTCATCAAAACTTATTTGCACTGTTGAATTTGTCTTAATGCTGCCAACGTTTTCAAGTGTACACAATTTCCCCCCATGTATTCAAGAAACATTTTCCAGTCTTCTCTAAACATACGTTCTTCTTGTTCTCTTATTCTGTATGTTAAGTCTGCAAGCTGCGCATATTCCATCAGCTTAAGTTGCCGTTCTTCTTTAGTTGGGACCTTGCTCGTTCTCCATTTTGGGGCTACCACAAGTGGTTTCCACTCCTCTGTCTTTTTTATCCATACTTCAAAGTTTTGGAGCATGCTGTCATCTCTGTCTGATGACACCCAGTTTCATTTTGCCTTTTCTTTAGCCTCGGGATAGCCTGAACTGAATGGGGAAAATTGCTACCATCCTGATAAGACAAAGATGTTCATGACAAGTTAAAGCTCCAGTCAGATAGGCTGTTGCTATTTTGCAGGTGGGATTCAAGCACAAACAAATTCAGGTCACGCAGTTGAAGTGGTTTTGGTGCTTTTGCGCAACAAACGCATTTTCAAAACAAATGGGCCTTTTTGGAAACGCAGTGGGAAGTGTGGAATAACAACTGCCTGTTTCAACATCCTATAACATCCTTGGAAAGAAATCAGAATGAAAGCCCAGTCAAGAGTCAGTGTTGTACAACCGCCCTGAATACATTGCACAAACAAATCAAGATGAATGCTTAATAAATGCAAATCCACATTCAGAGGTTTGGCTGTTTTCTTGCATGCTCTGGTAACCTGATTGCTGCAATGCACCGAGAGGGAGGGCTGAATTTATGAAACTTCAGCTGGATGCAGCAACTTTCTGAAACTAAGCTCAGGATATAAACAACATTGATTCTTTATTATCTGTGCTGCTTCCCAGTTTGTTTCTGAGTACAGAACACAAGTTCTAAAAACAATAAACAACAACAGCAATTTATTTATACCCCTCCCATTTATGGCGGCTTCTAACAACAGATTAAAAATACATTAAAACATCAGACATTAAAAACTTCCCTAAACAGGGCTGCCTTCAGTTGTCTTCTAAACGTCAGATAGTTGTTTATTTCTTTGACATCTGATGGCAGGGCGTTCCACAGGGCGGGTGCCACTGCTGAGAAGGCCCTCTGCCTGGTTCCCTGTAGCTTCACTTCTCGCAGTGAGGGAACCGCCAGGAGGCCCTCGGAGCTGGACCTCAGTATCCAGGCAGAACGATGGGGGTGGAGACGCTCCTTCAGGTATACTGGGCCGAGGCCGTTTAGGTCTTTAAAGGTCAGCACCAACACTTTGAATTGTGCTCGGAAACGTACTGGGAGTCAATAAAATCAATTCTACGAATTCTACAAACTTAAAAAGCAAAAGCAAAACCCAATTTCAGCTGATATAAAGGTGATATTTCATAAATTTCTGCGTTACACCTTAAAGAAAGCCTTTCTAAGCCAAAAGAAAAAGAAAAAGAAAAACTGACGGGTGGCATGCCAGGTGACCAGAAATTTCCATAGAAAATATCATTCCCCCCCATGACAAATAATTGGAGAATAACAATTAAAAGAAGCAAAGAAAACAAACAAAAATCTGTGGGGAAAAATCAGGAATGCACAAGAAATCTGCTCTGCCTTCACTTCTCCCCTGGTTTGGCCATTCATCCCAGCAGCTCCTTCCTGGTCCTGGTAGCATAGGATCGCTCTCTTCATGGAGTCAGCACCTTTGAACAAACCGGGACTTACTTCTGAGAAAAAATTCACAGAATCAGTTTGCAGGTAGTGATGGATCTATTCAGAATAAACTCTTGCTGCACAGGAATGACACAGACCTGCCTGGAAAGTCAACTCCCCACCAGCCACCCCAAATGCATAACTGGGGATATGAAAAAAAAGCACCTTACGTCTGGGTGAGCAACAATGGCCACACAAAACATTATAAAATAGCAGTCAGTCATGGAAAGGTTTGTTTCTGTAAAAGACACCCAAAAACCTGCTGACCTGAGCTATTTGGAGGAAGGATGTTTTTTAAAAAAGAAAGATCTACACAGTACACATGTTTCGTTTCCTCTAACGAGGAACCAAAACACTGGATCTCCCTTCACATTGGCAGTGCTTTAATGGAGCAGAACAAACACTTTGTTTTACATGAACATGTTGTTCCAAATTGTGGTTTTTGTGGGTGGCTGCATGCTGCACGAGAATCTTGTTTCAGATAAAGGGGAAGTGTTATAGAAAGCACAACAAATAATGCGGATATCCCTTCCTGCTTGCTTTTCTTTTGAGATCTTATGTATGTGTGGGCTTGGAGTTGTCCCATCACGGCAAGTTCAGGATCACTCCCGCTATTTGTATAGTGTAGGTTGTATAAAGGTAAAGGTACCCCTGACAGTTAGGTCCAGTCGTGGACGACTCTGGGGTTGTGCGCTCATCTCGCTCTATAGGCCGAGGGAGCCGGCATACAGCTTCTGGGTCATGTGGCCAGCATGACTAAGCTGCTTCTGGCAAACCAGAGCAGCGCACGGAAACGCCGTTTACCTTCCCGCTGGAGCGGTACCTATTTATCTACTTGCATTTCGACGTGTTTTCGAACTGCTAGGTGGGCAGGAGCTGGGACCGAACAACGGGAGCTCACCCCGTCGCAGGGATTCGAACAGCCAACCTTCTGATCGGCAAGCCCTAGGCTCTCTGGTTTAGACCACAGCGCCACCCGCTGTCCCTGTAGGTTGTATACTGGGCAACAAAACCTTGGATCGCTCGATTTATTTTCTCTGGGCAATGACCACATCTCTAACAGGGAACAGAAAAACAAAACAAACAACAGCTTCAGAATGAGCCACAAAGTCCCTTCAAAGCAAATCAGGCAGTTCTTTCTGCACTCCAAGTCTAGAGAAAACACATGCAGCAAGGAAGACCCAAACAGATGAAAAATGAAGCAGGTCCTCTACACTGACTGTCTAGAGAAGGAACTTCAAGGACATTATCATCCCTGAAATGTGTGCAACTCTAAATTTCTCCATAGAACCCATCAATCATACCTGTGACATCAATCGTTGTCTAAACACACTGAAAGATGCTCATATTTCATAAAGCAATTTCATCAAATGGTGCCAACACATTTTGCTTCATAATTTTTGTTCTATAGGAGCTGGAAACTTACATTTTTAAAATAAAAAATGGAGCTCAAAGTCTGGCCCCTTGCTGCCTTTGGGCCCAATACAGAATTACTTTCTGTAGCCCTTTCTTGTCTGCAAGCAGGAACCCCACAGGGCAACCTTGGGAATGCCAATGTTTCTCAGCCTGACACACAGCCGTGAGGATAAAATGGGGGGGGAGGGGTCATGTACATGATAGAAACTTAATAGATCAATAAATCTTGATGTCCATTCATATTTAATCTCCATTCACATTTAAGAGGATAAAAATAGGGTTAAGCATAGCCCAATGGTGGCCATCAATTTGATTTAAAGTAATTTTTTAATGAAATGATTTTAGAATGTTGTATTATTTTATTGTTGTTAGCCACCCTGAGCCCGGCCTCGGCTGGGGAGGGAGGGATATAAATAAAAATTTATTATTATTATTATTATTATTATTATTATCATTTTCGGCCTTTTGCTTAACTATCTTAGGTAAAGGAAATAATTAGGCACATGATTGCAGTAAAAGGGAGGGAGGAAGTGGTTATGTAACAGCAGTCAGTTTTTCCATTATGGATGTCTTAGTTTTCCTTTTCCTTTGCTAAGAATTCAATTTGCTTTGAAGGAAAGGGAGGGGGGGAGAGTAACCAAGAATGTTCAAGATCTAAGTCATCATCAGAAGATACACACACTCAAACATGAAATTGACTTACCCTTGTATGCTTTTGAAACCATAAAATTGACCACAGAGGGCCATAAAAACATTTCACATGTATGTCACACCACACTGCATGTAATAGTATCCTGCAGTCAAGTGGCTGATTGTTCTGAAGTGCCTCAATTCTCACCACCAACACAGACATAGCTTTCATTTTGTTAATTAATCAATTGATTAATTTGAAGGGTTTAATTAAAATAACATTGGGGCAGTTGAATCTCATTACAGTATGGGAGGAATGAAACACTGTGTCTACAACTCCAGCAGGTGCAGAATGCTGCAGCGAGGCTCCTCACAGGGTCTCTGCCATGGAAGAATATTCACCCAGTGCTTTTCAAACTGCACTGCCTCCCAGTGGAGTACAGGGTCAGATTTAAGGTGCTGCTTTTGACCTTTAAAGCCCTTCACGGCCTAGGACCCTCTACCTACGGGACCGCCTCTCCCGGTCTGCCCCACGGAGAGCCTCAAGGTCCATAAATAGCAACACCTTAGTGGTTGTTAGCCGCCCTGAGCCCGGCCTTGGCTGGGGAGGGCGGGGTATAAATAAAAAATTATTATTATTATTATTATTATTACAATACAACAACACGGTACAAACCCATTTAACAACACAATGGATCACTTAAACTGATGGAGCGATTAAGATGCAGATGTATTAAACCACTCAGTATTTTTTAAAAATTCATACCTCCAGAAAGCTTTCATTTGAAAGGAAAAGGACATGAGCAAGGTTTAAGGGCTCTCTGAAATTTAATAGGAATGAGCGCAGGGTGGCTTGTTACAGACACCAGAAATGACTCTGTATAGTATCATTTCACTTTTTAATCATCAATACATTTCAGTTTAAGGGACGCAGGTGGCGCTGTGGGTTAAACCACAAAGCCTAGGACTTGCCGATCAGAAGGTTGGCGGTTCGAATCCCCACAACGGGGTGAGCTCCCGTTGCTCGGTCCCTGCTCCTCCCAACCTAGCAGTTCGAAAGCATGAAGTGCAAGTAGATAAATAGGTACCACTCCGGCAGGAAGGTAAATGGCATTTCCGTGCGCTGCTCTGGTTCTCCAGAAGCGGCTTAGTCATGCTGGCCACATGACTGGAAGCTGTACGCTGGCTCCCTCGGCCAATAAAGCGAGATGAGCGCCGCAACCCCAGAGTCGGTCATGACTGGCCCTAATGGTCAGGGGTCCCTTGACCTTTACTTTACATTTCAGTTTAGAGCACATTTGGACTACAGTGGTACCTCGGGTTAAGAATTTAATTCGTTCTGGAGGTCCATTCTTAACCTGAAACTGTTCTTAACCTGAGGTCGTGCGATTTCTGTTCTCATCCTGAAGCAAAGTTCTTAACCTGAGGTACTATTTCTGAGTTAGCAGAGTCTGTAACCTGAAGCGTCTGTAACCTGTAGCATCTGTAACCCGATGTACCACTGTACTTGGTCGCTGTTATTATTATCTGAATCATAATTTTATTTTATAATTTTATTAAATCATCGTTATTATTTTGCTATTGTTCTGGTTTTATACTTAGATTTTACTATGAAACGGTACACTATCAAAGAGAAGTACAAAATCATGCGCTAAGGGACTGCTAGGGTATTCGATCTAGAAGGCTGAGAAAACCGTGAGAGTCATGCGTTATGATAAGTTGAGTCAGCACTTTAGTGCCATTGCAAAAGGCCATGAATAATACTCTGGGTGGCATGACTAAGGGGAATTTCAAGAGACATAGGAAGTAATCCTACCAGTGACCTTAGCACTTATCAGATATTTGCTGCATAACTATATTTCCTTCTGGTTACCACAGTTCAAGAAACGCCTAAACAAGCTGGTGGGGTATGGTGGCTATTGAGTGAAGAGGAACAAGATTTAGGTCTCTAGGAAAGACCAAGGGTGTTTCTTTTAGTTTAGAAAAGTGTTGACTGAGGACAGATTTACACATCATTAATTTTTTTTAAAAAAAAATTATTTATATTTTTCAATTGTATACATTTTCATTAGTTTTACAGTCAATTTAACATTTCAAAATTGGACTTCCTCCCCCCCCCCCTTTCTGCGGTTCCTTAAATTTATTTTTTAATTTCTCCTACATATCCAAATTCATTTAACTTACTCATTTGATTATCTACTCTAAATATATACTCTTCTAAAACTGCAGATTATTACAATAATCCTGCAAATATTTTAATCTGTTTCCAATTGATCTGCAAATATTCGATAAACCATTTCCATTCTTTTATAAGAAGTTTGTTATCTTGATTTCTTATTCTTCCGGTAAGCTTTACCATTTCTGCATATTCCGTAAGTTTTTCTATCTATTCTTCCGCTACTGGGCCTTCTGCTTCTTTACATTTTACGGCAAGTAACATTCTTGCTGCTGTAGTAGCATACATAAATAAATTTCTATACGGTTTAGGTAGTTCTGTCCCTATAATTCCCCAAAAAACTACACATCATGATAAGCACACAACGGCCACTGAAAACAGCAGCCTGGTGCCAAGTTCTCCCTGTGCCATTTAATACATCTTATCCATATTCTGTCATAACAGATATCAGGGCATGGCTAAGCTTCATCTATGGGGTGGGAGGACACTTGGCACAGAGTTGCTCTGAATTATTGTTAACATGCGGTTAACAGCAGACGGGATGCTTCACTCCAGCGAATGGGAAAAACTTTGGACGATGCATTGTGTCAGTCACGAAAAGTGCACTTACATGTGGACCCTTTCTGAGGTCCAGAGATGCCTGGGCTGCTTACTTTTGAGGCCTTAGCTATAATAAAAATGTAAAAAGACAGCACACAAAAACTATAGTAAGGTAAAGGGGTAAAGGGACTCCTGACCATTAGGTCCAGTCGTGACCGACTCTGGGGTTGTGGCGCTCATCTCGCTTTATTGGCCGAGGGAGCCGGCGTACAGCTTCCAGGTCATGTGGCCAGCATGACTAAGCCGCTTCTGGCGAACCAGAGCAGCGCACAGAAACACCGTTTACCTTCCTACTGGAGTGGGACCTATTTATCTACTTGCACTTTGACGTGCTTTCGAACTGCTAGGTTGGCAGGAGCAGGGACTGAGCAATGGGAGTTCACTCCGTAACAGGGAATTGAACTGCCAACCTTTTGATCGGCGAGTCCTAGGCTCTGTGGTTTAACCCACACCGCCACCTTCATCCCTCACAAAAACTATATAGGCAAACAAATAAAAAAGTGAGGTTGTTTACTTACTCTGCGTCCAAGGTGCTCCTTCCACAAATTTGGGAAGCAGTGCACACACCAATCTTACATCTATTCTTTATCTATCCTGTTACTTTAAAAAAAAAAAAGCTATGCTTTGAGAGTTTCATCTCCACAAACCAGCTTTGATCCAAAACTGGAGGTTGAGAGGACAACCTAGCTGCACTTTAGTGTGGTTCATTTGTTATAAACAGCTGATCTGAGAGGACGCATTCATCATTGCCTAATATTGGGCCATCAGACCCGACCTACTCATATTTGTGGACATTTTAGACTCTTTAAGATGGCAAATTCTATATTGGTTACCCGAAAGATTCTGGCTTTTACTAAATCACATTTTGATTTGCTTAAATTTGCAGCTCTGAGCTGGGATAGTGTGTCACATTTTGGCCCAGTGGCGTGTGTGTGTGTGTGTGTGGAACTTACCACGTGCCAAAAAATTCATATGTGCCTAAAAAAAACCCCTCCCATCAGCACTGCTTATACGGGAATAGGGAATAGACTTGGAGCAGCAAAGCTTGTTCAGGGATGCTCCCATCTATTACGTTGATGTATAAGGATGAAAAGGGACGCGGGTGGTGCTGTGGGTTAAACCACAGAGCCTAGGACTTGCCGATCAGAAGGTCGGCGGTTCGAATCCTCATGATGGGGTGAGCTCCCGTTGCTCGGTCCCTGCTCCTGCCAACCTAGCAGTTCAAAAGCACGCCAGCACAAGTAGATAAATAGGTACAGCTCCGGCAGGAAGGTAAACGGTGTTTCCGTGTGCTGCTCTGGTTTGCCAGAAGTGGCTTAGTCATGCTGGCCACATGACCCGGAAGCTGTATGCCGGCTCCCTCAGCTAATAAAGTGAGATGAGCGCTGCAACCCCAGAGTTGACCACGACTGGACCTAATGGTCAGGGGTCCCTTTACCTTTACCCATAAGGATGAACAAAGGTCCGTATAGTTAAAGCCATGTATGGAAGTGAGAGCTGGACCATAAAGAAGGCTGATCGTCGAAGAATTGATGCTTTTGAATTATGGTGCTGGAGGAGACTCTTGAGAGTCCCATGGACTGCAAGAAGATCAAACCTATCCATTCTTAAGGAAATCAGCCCCGAGTGCTCACTGGAAGGACAGATCGTGAAGCTGAGGCTCCAATACTTTGGCCACCTCATGAGAAGAGAAGACTCCCTGGAAAAGACCCTGATGTTGGGAAAGATGGAGGGCACAAGAAGAAGGGGACGGCAGAGGACGAGATGGTTGGACAGTGTTCTCGAAGCTACAAACATGAGTCTGACCAAACTGCGGGAGGCAGTGGAAGACAGGAGTGCCTTGCGTGCTCTGGTCCATGGGGTCACGAAGAGTCAGACACGACTAAACGACTAAACAACAACAACATAAGGATGAAAAAGGGGCTGACCCAAACTTGCTGCTCATTCGTCCAATGTTCAGTGATAACAGCATCAATTATAGTGATAAGTTTATCCCAAAATTTTCCTTGGTGACTGTGTGTGAAGACTTCTCCGATTGCATTATCGACCCTTGTGGTTGCAATGATAAATGCGCAGACCTCGCATAATTCCTTGGATACTCATACCCCTAAGTTGAGGCAAACGATTGCTCTGTAAATTTGCTGAATCCAACAACTGATCAAACCAAACATAAACCAAAGGAAAGATCTCATCACCCTCTTGGGAATGTTTTTGGTGGGGCCTTATCTTAACTCCCTGTTCTTGGCACAAAATACTTTCCTTGTACCAGGCGACCAAAGCACGGTCTGTACGTAACGCCCTTGCTTGCATGAAAGGGTTGCTTAAGAACAATGTCAAATTCTATACAGAGGTTAACGGGCCTCAGGGCTGCCACCTTGTGGTATGGCTGACTAACAGCTTTGTCACAGACTGTGGTATTTTAAAATACACCCCTAAAATGTTTATAAAGATTATACCAAAAACGTGTGTTTTCACGATGAACCTGTATCAAATTTTATTTTTGATTAATTAAGGTCATTTAAACCAGACATTACCAGATTGAAGTATGTGGCATATGATACACTGCCCTGGACCCCTTAAAGGATAGTATAGAATGAAGATGGTGCTATGGTCTAAACCACTGAGCCTCTTGGGCTTGCTGATCAAAAGGTCAGCGGTTCGAATCCCCATGATGGGTTGAGCTCCCATTGCTCTGTCCCATCTCCTGCCAACCTAGAATTTTGAAAGCATGCCAGTGCAAGTAGATAAATAGGTACCGCTGCGGTGGGAAGGTAAATGGCATTTCCGTGTGCTCTGGTTTCCATCACGGTGTTCCGTTGCACCAGAAATGGTTTAGTTCTGCTGGCCACATGACCCGGAAACCTGTTTGTGGACAAAGGCCGGCTCCCTTGGCCAGAAAGCGAGATGAACGCTGCAACCCCATAGTCACCTTGGACTGGACATAACCGTCCAGGGGTCCTTTAGCTTTTACCTTTAGTATAGAAACACAATACAGACAGCTCCTGGTTTAGACACGTCCAAATGAGGTATGATTGGCCGACCAGGTGAACTAGCAGGATGGGGTGGCAGTGGATTGGTGGACCAAATGGGTGACAGCTGATTGGCTCAGCAGTGCATGTGGAGGGGAGCTCCTCCCATTTTTTGAACGAAGAATCCTTTTCTGGATCTAAACTGGGGACCCCTTGCCAATAAACTCTGAGCTTCTCTGTGATGCTAGGACTCCTACTGCTCTTGATGCAGACTAGGTTCTGAGGCTGTGTGCTTGTGAGCAGTGTGTTAGGATTGGGCTAAGGAACTTCTCTTCACAAGTGTGACCCCCCCCTCCCTTATCCAGATTTTGCTATGAGCATAGTAGCCTGTACCTGAGAAGGGAAGCACACATCAGTGAAAATCCTAGTAAAATATTCTGAACACGGAGCTGAACTTGTTAAAAAACAACCCCAAAACTTTTTGCTTCCATTCTGATATTCTCTTTCCAATAAACCGTTAAGATGCTGAAGAGTAAGGTAAAGGTAAAGAGACCCCTGACCATTAGGTCCAGTCATGACCGACTCTGGGGTTGTGGCACTCATCTCGCTTTATTGGCCAAGGGAGCCAGCGTACAGCTTCCAGGTCATGTGGCCAGCATGACTAAGCCGCTTCTGGCGAACCAGAGCAGCGCACGGAAATGCCATTTACCTTCCCGCCGGAGCGGTACCTATTTATCTACTTGCGCTGGCGTGCTTTTGAACTGCTAGGTTGGCAGGAGCAGGGACCGAGCAACGGGAGCTCACCCTATCACGAGGATTCGAACCGCCAACCTTCTGATCAGCAAGTCCCAGACTCTGTGGTTTAACCCACAGCACCACCCGCGTCCCTGCTGAAGAGTAATGCATATTATTAATGCCCAGTGCATTTTTGCCAATAAGTAGGAGATCTTCAGCTTGAACTTTTATATTTTGAACTGATGCTCACATTTTCAATCCCAGCCTGGATGCATTTCAAATGCTATTTAAAACAAATTACAGTCTCACTTTTTAAAACAAAAACAAAAAAACCCACAACTTTAGCTGACTTTGGATTGTATCCTTGTTTCTGGGGAAACTCAAGGAAATGCCTAAGGAGAAACAACAAAAATATCCCTTCTTTTTGCAATAGGATTTTCTTGCTATGTGAAGTCATAGGTGAGTTTTCTTTTCTTTTCAGTGACTCACTACAAAAAGGGATAGTAGTGGATAAAGCGTTACACATAATTCATACCACAGGAGGAGAGGTATACATAACGTTTTGAAGGAAGTGCTATCATCATTTGTTCATTTCCCTTCTCGGGAAACCACCCAAATGATTTGGTTTTAGTAACACACTTAGTTGTAATACAATTTTCAATGTAATCCAGATCCCACTGAGGTCAAGAGGGAAGAACCCACGGTGATGTTCATGGTTGTGTCACGTAGTCGCTAACGGACAGGGGCGGCCATTTTGTGCACTAGTATCCAGGAATAAGTCCTACTGGATTTACTGAGACTTTTAAAAGCATTTCAAGCTACTCCAGGAGACGTTTTTCGTGCTTTTGCTGATAGTCTTTCTTATTTTTCTTTAACGCCACTTCACATCTAGAAATTATGAACCTCCCTTCTCTATTGCTATGTATAGATTTTGCCCAGACTGCAAAAGGGGGTCAGGAGAGAGAATCAAAGTAAAGAGCGCTCTATGTGCTTGCTCATCTATACCACCATTGCTCCTGGCGAAACAGCTTTTGCAGGTGTTTGTGTGGCTTAAGCGACTTCCAAATATAGATGGTGTTGGGGGGGGTTGGAGGGGGGAAGCTAAGACTAACGACAAAGTGTGTTCTCCTTCATGGAGAGCATGTGTTGCAGTGGGGGCCGACAGGACACTCCAAAGTTGTGGGGCGGGCTAATTGATCGTTGGCCACTGTTGTGATTGGGCTTCCCTTGTTGCTGGGAAGAAGTTAATGTTGCCATTTGTTGATTGACAGCCAGAAATGCTAAAACTCCTTGCACGAGGCTAGGGCTTCCTCTTTTCGCCCGTGCATCAGATTGCACGCCCCCCTCTCCCAAGAATTAGGGTAGTTCGCTTTGACCTTGCTATGCCTGTCATGGGGTCGTCTGCTCTTGGGGCAGGGGCCAGGTGGGAATTTTGTCCATCTGGCTGATTGGCTGGGGCCATTTGTTTTTTGCCTACTGCGTAGCAAATCGTCACAACTTGTAAGGTTGTGGTTAGGCATTGGTTTATGGTTTGGTTGGTTGAGGGGCATGGATTGGCTGTGCCTGCCCCTCTATTTCTGCTGCTGCGAGGGATTCCGTTAAAGGAATACAGGGACTCACCATTGCTTTTGTCCAAACCCTGTCAAGGGGCTAGGGCCACGCAAGAGCCCCTGGTTGCATTTGGGGTGGGCTGAGGGCAGGTTCCCTGCTCCGTCGCTACCCCCAAGTGTATTCCCCTTTTCTGACTTTCGCAGGCGTGTGAAATGTCAGTCTGTCCCCCACAGTGGGGGCAGATAGTCGCAACCAATGCCTAAGCAACCACTCACATTTTTTGTATTTGAATAAAGTTGTGGCCAAAATTATGCCAAAAACCTTAAACAAAATTTCTGTGTGATGTGTGAGTTATTTGGGGTGGCCCTGGAGACCTTGACACGCAAAAAGTAAAACTGGATAAAAGCTATTGCTTTTCTTCTGTCTGTGTCATAGACATGACTGCACACAAGCAACAGGAGCAGTCTGAGTGTGGGGGGGCAAAGTTAGGCAGAAGGGGAAGAGGGAGGCTTGCCTTTTTCTCAGACAGCTGAAAGCCGTGGGCTGCAGCCAGGGGCGGAGGAAGGGGGGTGCGGTGGTATAAAATTTTATTCTTCAAAATCAGAGACAACAAATTCAGTAGCATCATTTGCGTCTTCTGCTACCTGGAATATGTCTGAGAATCAACAGCTTAAAATATAAAGAGTGTGGAAAAGCTTTCAGTGATGCGGTTAAGTCTTCTTGCTTTGGTTGCATGTTAGAACTTAAAAGGCTTTTTTTTTTTAATGCCAGTGGTTTTGTTTATGAAAAATAATAACAAACATCTTTGCTTTTCAGCTTAAAACTGAATCTATTCCAAGGCTTTATTTCAAAGAGATCCAAGATTCCGGAACAGGAGGTCATGCAAGTTCAGTTCTTTGTATACAGTATGCCCAGCAAAACATGTTGAATCTTTTGAGAATATTCTGAGGTTTAGTATTTAATTTCCTGGGCGGAATACAAGAAAAGCAGTCTGCTAGATTACTTTCACAAAGCTGATATTGGCTGGCAAAAAGAAAGCTAATTTTAAAGCAGGTAATGGTGAAAATAACAAATCTGTGCAACTGCCTCTCAGAAATTGCCTAGATGCTATTTTATTCTGTTTTAACCAGCTCCCCCCCCCCCCCCCCGCGTCTCCACACCCATCGTTCTTGTTTTTGTATCCATTCTTCTTCTTCTTTCCATTTTTGGGCAAGAAACATTCTTGCTGCTGTAGATGCACCCATATGGTTGGGGGAAAGAACCGCCAGGGATAAAAAAATGACCAAAGACTAGCATATTTGCAATGCAAATCTTTATTAGAATAAAAAAATTAATTGGGGAAGGGGGAAACTGGTCCTTGGTTGAGAGAGCTGCTGGCCTCACTGTTGCCGCTGCCTGGAAGAGAAAAGAACAGAAAAGATTCTTAATATTTCCATTGAGGATCTCCAAGTGGCCCACATTATTCTCCCTTCCTCATCCAATCCCTAAACTCTTCTTAAATCAGGGAGCTGCCTCCCCGCCCCCCAGCCAGCCAGATTCTCTCTGGCCTCCCTGTTCTTCGTGAACAAAGATCAACACTCACCACTGGTGGAATCACTGGTGGCATCCATCCCCTGGTCCTTCGGCCTCACATAAATTGTACGAACTCTTATCTTCTTTCCATTAATCTCCATGGTGTCTTCGTCCAGGGGATGGATTTTTATGGAGCGGCAACAGGAGGCCAGCAGCTCTCTCAACCTTCGCAGACCGGAACATCTAGGGAAGAAAAGGAAGAAGGTCACGAAATGGATTATTTCCTCGCTACTCTCTATCCCTGCACTGCAAGCTATTTCCCTCAAAGCAGCTAAGGGGCCCTGAGGACAATCTTTAAAAATTAATCTAACCATGACCCGATGTGTCTAAATCTTAAGGAATAGCTAAAGAAATAGGGGGAAGAATAAGAGATTCTACTTACAAGCGAGACGACTGAACCTTCATTATCTCCAGAAATACACTCTCACCAAATTCACTGATTAAATTCAAAGTTCTCAGCCAAGTCACTCAGCAGGGAACATGTCACAATGGAGGACATGACATCATCACTCTAGCTACCTCGCCTAACAATGGGCATCACTCCTCTTAATATTATTTTTCAAATATATCTTTCAGTGGGTTAAGTGGTTTTATTTAATTAATTTAGAATATGGTTACCAGATTTTTTTCAATGAATCCAGGGACACTTCTTTTCTTCTTCTTCTTCTTTTTTGAAGCTGAGTGGCAACAGGGAGTCTGTAGTGGGGATGGTGAAGCAAAAGATCCTGGGCCCAAGCACACATCCATATTGTATAAAGGTGCAAAGTTCTTCTTTTGCACCCTGTGAAACATAAATGCACAGAGTTTTTAAAAAACTGGGCAATGGCCACCCGCCCACAACTCCCAAGCCATCCCCAAAGGGGGCAGGGGGCAGGAGATCTGTACCACCAGACGTCCTCGGTTCCCCTTCAGAAGTGGCAGCAGCAGCGGCAGTCAGCAGCCCGGAGCCAGCCTGGTGGCGCAGTTGGCTCTGGCTGGCTTCAGAAGCAGCTTGCTTCTGTGGCACCCGCCAGTTTGCTTCCCGGAAATCCTCATATGATGTGTCTTGTGCACAACACATTATATGGGGACTTCTGGCAAGGAAAAGTAGTGGGTGCCATGGCAGCGAACAGCAAGCAGCTCCTGAAGCCAGCCAGAGCCAGCTGCGCTACCAGGTTGGCTCTAGGCTGCTGAGGCTGCCGCTGCCACATTTCCCGGGGACAGATTTGCAAATCCGGGGACGTCTGGTAACCCTAATTTAGAAAAGATCCACAGCTGGCTTCATGCAGCGCAGTGCATTTCTGCACAGGACAGGAAACACCTTGCAAACACACACACTTTTGAACATGGAGGGGTCACCAAGGGACAACACTTCTGGCCTTGACTATGGCTGCTGTTTCTCACTTAAGAGTTAAAAATAACCCCTCTCAACACCCTGTAGTAAACTGTCCAGGATTACGATGAACAGAAGCAGGACTTCACCCTTAGACCTCCTCATCCCCCTGTTTCTTTAAGTTTCTGCCCAGTGTGTTCTGCCAATAAACAGCTTTCCTTAGGTTGCAAGGAAGTGAAATGTTATGAGTTTGTAGGTGCCAGGCTCCCTTTTGCCATGAGTTTCTGGGTGCCAGGCACTGAACCCCTGGACACTGAACATCTGGGGAGTTGATCTAAGCCTTGTTTCAATGTACCCCAAGCTCTACATTTGATTCTTGGTTATTAAAAACGGTTTGAACCCATTTTATTTCATTCACAAAAGAAAATCTGACATGTGATTATCATAAGAGTTTATAGACAATGGGTAGCAGGTTTATTAATCCTTTTCATAAGTTATTATTTGTCTACTTTAATGTATTCTTTATATATAGTAATCATTTAGAGGTTGGGGTGGGAAGCAGTTTTGAATATGAAACTGGTGGATGGCTGTCATTAATTCAGATCCATTCCATAGAATCATAGAATCTTAAGAGTTGGAAGAGAACCAAGGGTCATCTAGTCCAACCCCTGCGATGCAGGAATCTCAGCGAAAGCATCCATGACAGATGGCCATCTAGTCTTTGTTTAAAAACCTCAAGGAATAAGAGTCCACCACCTTCCAAGGGAGTCTGTTTGTTTTTATGAATGTTTAATCAGAATCTCCTTTCTTGTAACCTGAAGCCATGGGTTCGAGTCCTACCCTCCAGAACAGGAGAAAACAAGCATCCTCCCTCTTCCGTGTGACAGCCCTTAAAATATTTGAAGATGGCTATCAGATCTCCTCTCAGTCTCCCCTTTCCAGGCTAAACATACCCAATTCCTTCAACATCCTCCTTAAATTGTGGCTCCCAGAATTGGACACAGTATTCCAGGTGTGGTCTGACCAAGGCAGAATAGAGCGGTACTATTACTTCCCACGATCTGGACACTATACTTCTGTTAACGCAGCCTAGAATAGCATTAGCTTTTTTGCTTCTGCATCACACTGTTGACTCATGTTAAGCCTGTGGTCCATCAAGACCCTTAGAGCTTTTCCACAGGTACTGCTAGGAAGCCAGGTGTCCCCCATCCTATATTAGTGAATCTGTTTCTTCCTGCCTAAGTGCAGAACCTTACATTTGTCCCTATTGAAATTCATTTTGTTGGCTTTCGTCCAGTTCTCCAACCTGTTAATGTCCTTTTGAGTTCTGATTCTGTTTTCTGCAGCATTAGCTAGCCCTCGCAGTTTGGTGTCATCAGCCAATTTGAGGAGCATCCCCTCAATTCCTTCATCCAAGTTGAACAACAACGGGCCCAGGACAGAACCTTGCAGCACCCCACTTGTCACTTTTTTCCAGGAGGCTGAGAAAGCATTAATGGCCGCTCATCATTTCACAGTGGTGGGCAATGTTTGCAGCCCAGCACACTGCACCACCATCTTCTCAGAGCCATGCTGCTCCTGTGGCCATTGCTCATCTGCTGGGGGCACCGCGGAGGCCTCTGGGTTCTCGTCTGTCCTGCGCCAGCATGGAATCTTTAGCTGCTGCCATTGACTACACTTGTCGGCCTGGGTATGGTGTGCCCCTTTAAAGAATTTTCCTCCCACTTGGGAGGTTTCCGTTGGCTTGGTTCTAAGAATGCGCACACACTCAGACGGTCACAGTTTCTGTTTTATATTCACAGCTTTCCCTAAGCGCAGGCTTATATTCTGCTGCTCTGAGGCTCTTTCTTCTAACTCTTTGCTGTATCACTTCCTAATTTTTTCCAGTCCTTTTCCTTATTAAGATAATAATATGGATAAGAGTAATAGTAACAATAATATTAGCACCATCATGCCGCCTGCTAGCACAACTGAACAACAAGGGGTCATTTCTCCACCTTGCACGCATAAGGGCATGTCAAGTGGCGCTCCTAGCTGAGCCGTGCAGGTGGCTAAAAAGATTAAGAAGAGGGTGCTCTCTTCAGGGAGGAAGTGTTTCTGCTGGAGGCAAGAAGGCAACATCGGTTGGCTCTCCCACCGGATCTGGAAGCCTTGCAACCACCCTCAAGTGGTCAGCTCTCTCCTACAGACGTCGGGTGAGTCCTTCCTTTCCCTCATCCCCTGATTATTCCTCTTCTAACAAATATTCCTCTTCTCGGTTGCTAGGGAAGGGACAACAGGGACTATAGGCCATTTAAGGAAGCGTGAGGAGCAGGCCAAGGTGCTCATGGCAAAATCTTGTTCTCCCCATCGCCATTCTCAGATGTTAGGCACAGAGGCGGGTCTCCCTCCTCTACTTTTTCTGATAGTTCCTCATGCCCTGAATCACATAGGACACAGTGCAGGAAGAAGAGATCCTGCTGAACTAGGAAACACGGACATGAGTCCAGGAGGGATCCTTTGGATTCTTCGGAGTCCCCAGGCATGTCTGCTTATTCTGATAGCAACTTAGAAGACCGCATTAAGCGGTGTTGGGTTACTACATCTAAATGACCCAACCTCCTCTTCTACTACTCTTCTACTACTCTTGTAGAATCAAGAGTCATTTAGGGAAGCTTTTAATGTTTGATGTATTATAGTATTTTAATATTTTTTGGGAAGCCGCCCAGAGTGGCTGGGGAAGCCCAGCCAGATGGGCGGGGTATAAATAATAAATTATTATTATTATTATTATTATTATTATTATTATTATTATTATCATGAGTGCATCCTCAAGGGCGAATTTATAGACATGTTTTCTTCACTATCACCTGCCTCGTCGTGTAGTATATAGTCAAAACCAGCGAAGCAGCAAAATAAAGAAAAGAAAATCACTGTTGAACGCAACTTCCATAACTGGATGACCGTGTTCTCTAATTATGCAGGTGTCATATAGTGAGCCTCTCCTGACAGGGCCTGGCACCTCTTTAACTATCAGCATATCATCCTAAATGTCAAACTGATGGCGGGGGAAGCTGCAGCCTTAGAGTATGATGACGAGTTCAGGGAAATGGCTGCGGAGGATCATACAGTTCAATGGGATGTAAAAGACAGGGACACTTGGTCAGAGCTGGTGTCTCCCTACATGGAGAAGAGGTCAGACTTAGCCAAATCTTTGAAGCTGCCTCAGAAGTTTCTGCCTAGGGTGTGTTGGGAATTCAACAACGGTCCGTACCACTACACTCACAATGAGAGTGCTATGGTGGCTCACATCCCCGTTCCAAATGTTTTCATGCCAGGACCTTTCTTCGTAGCTTCTGGAAGTCAGGTTCTACATTAGGAAAGAAGGACTGCCAGTACTGTGGGCTCCCAACTGGCAAAGAGACCCGCCTGAAAATGACCCGTTTTTCTCCCTAGGAGTCGCTGGTGTGCCCACCCCTGGCCAGCATTGTGGCATATTGTGGGTATCACACGTGACTGATATGGGGCAAATTGTGTAGTGTCTGTTGGTCCAGTTTTGAGGTAATGTTATTCCATGCAGCATATTCCTTGGCCTTCTTTGGGGCCCTGTGCATTGGTGAGTGCACCGTGGACATGGCATCTCTCCCCACTCAGGTTTGGATATGAAAGATACCAATTTCCAGGGGCGTTGTCTGAAAATCAGAATTTGTTCTTCCAAAACTGATCAGTTCCACAGGGGCACTAGCCTAATGGCCCCTGCCCTGTCTGTGACACCCGTAGGTTCCTGAGTGTTAGGCCTGACACGGGCAACCCACTCATTCACACGAATGCCTATCCTCTCTTCTGGCACCAGTTCGCCGCAGTACTGAGAAAAGTCCTTGTGGCATGTGTTGGCAAGACCTCTCCTCCTTCCAGAGGGGAGGAGTTGTGTGTGGGAGACGACTCCCACATCAGCAGGGGGGCATATTCAGCCCCCTGTGTCAGCCTGCCCCTCAGCCACTGCGCCAAGCCCATTAGACAGCCAATAGGGCTGACTCGTGGGCGGGGTTTAGCCACGCTTAAGCGGCCATGGCGCTGCTGGGGCCCCATTTGGCTTCCTGCTTCCTTCCTTCCCTCCCTGTACACTTTCCAGACTACTCTTTCCGCATCGGGGCTGCTACAACTGCTGCGGCCTGGGGTTTGGACCCTGATCACTTGAAGGCAATGGGCTGCTGGCACTCTAAGGCCTATAAAGGTTACATCCAGCCTGGTCAACAATCTCTTATGGATTCCTTGTCAATCTTTAATTTTCAGCAAAACTGTTTGGGTCTTCGGCCGCTGTATCATCCACTGGTCAGCTGCCCACGCTGCCGCAAATCACTGTAGAAAACACCTGGCCATCCATCCCAGAGTGGACCAGCGCAGGATGCATTGGGCTGCCCTCATGCCAAGGTTACGCTGAGCAACCACGTTTCACGCCCCCCCCCCCAAGGTGGCTTGCTGCTTCGCCAGGGCAAAAATGACCTGGTCGCCCAAAAGAGCAACAACCTAATTTGGCGGCAATTGCAGACATTGTGGGACTTTGGGCAGCATATCCTGATACCACCATCCTATGGACGGAGCTTTTTCCGGGTCTCCATTGGAGGGGAGCTGTTCAGCCTTTGCGTCTCAGTTATGGCCATTGTCAAAACCAACAGGGCAACCCGCAACGTGACCCTGCGTATCGGCGGCCGAGTGATCAAACACCCAGACATCAAGCCTGACAAGCTGGAGGTTTTCAGACCTGATGGTGTACACCTGACCCCACGAGGGAACAAACTTTGGTTGAGAGAAGTGAAGCAGGGCTTTGAGGAATGGTTTGCGGACATTGGATTGATGGTATCAGCTGGAGGTAGTCTGCGATATCACGGTTCCGGGGGGCGGTTTTAAGGCTTTGATGGAATTCTTTAATCCATCATGTGAAGTAGGGGTGGCGTCGCAATGTACCCCACCTGCGACAGCAGTATCAGGGTCCCCTTGAAAGGGTGTCCTGAGGGGAGTCTCAGACCACAAGCGCACAGTGGTGGGTCAAGGACTCCCCTCAGCAAGTGGATGAGGGGCCAGATGTGTAAACACACAGTTTGCAGTGTCCCCATATTCCTGACTGTCCCTGTCTTGCCTCAGACCCCAACAGAGGACTGAGAGGGATGTACACCCAATGCCTAAGCCAAGGTTTCCTACATCTGAAATTTTAATAAAGTTGTGGCCAGTTTTCATCCCAAAATACGTTGTCAGGCTTTTTTCTTTGTTGTGAAGTCTGGCTCCCTTGCGGGTGGTGGGGATACTGAGCTTTATTTCAAATAGATCCAAGATTCCGGAACGGGAGGCCATGCAAGTTCAGTTCTTTGTATACGGTATGCCCAGCAAAACATGGTGAATCTTTTGAGAATATTCTGAGGTTTAGTATTTCATTTCCTGGGCGGAATGCAAGAAAAGCAGACTGCTAGATTACTTTCACAAAGCTGATATTGGCTGGCAAAAGGAAAGCTACCGTATTTTTCGCCCCATAGGACGCACTTTTTCCCCTCCAAAAATGAAGGGGAAATGTGTGTGCGTCCTATGGGGCGAATGCAGGCTTTCGCTGAAGCCTGGAGAGCGAGAGGCATCGGTGCGCACCGACCCCTCTCGCTCTCCAGGCTTCAGGAAGCTATCCGCAAGCCTTGCAAGCCCAGCGGGAGTTCCCGCGGGCTCACAAGGCTTGCGGGCAGCAGCCTGCAGCCCCGGCGAGTGTCCACAAGCCTTGCGCGCCCGGCAGGAGGTCCTGCCGAGTGCGCAAGGCTTGGGGTGGCAGCCTGTCACCTGAAGCACGGGGAGCCCTCCGGAGCCCTACGAGAAGCGATGTTACAGGGAACCAGACAGAGGGCCTTCTTGGTAGTGGCGCCCGCCCTGTGGAATGCCCTCCCACCAGATGTCAAAGAAATAAACAACTATCTGACCTTTAGAAGACACCTGAAGGCAGCCCTGTTTAGGGAAGCTTTTAATATTTGATGAATTATTGTATTTTAATATTTTGCTGAAAGCTGCACAGAGTGGCTGGGGAGGCCTGACCACATGGGCAGGGTATAAATAAATTATTAATATTATTATTATTATAGCATCCACAAAGGAAGGAGCCAAACTGTAGACTCCTGCAGTGAGACCCGGGATTTCCACCCATGCTCACAACTGTTGGAAAAAAGTAACCCCAAAGACTAGCATGCTTGTAAAGGAATAACACAAAAATTATCTGTTTATCTTTTTTAAAAAATATGTTTTTATTAAGTTTTGCATAACAAATTTAAATTCAAACACATTATTTACCCCTTCATTTAGGATTCTCTGAATCCTTTGACTTCCCTCCCCCCTTCCATGGTTACCCTTATCCATCTCTCTCTTTTTCATCTGCTTATCGTATTTTCTCTAATTTGCTAATAGAATAGAAATCCATTTTCCCATAGTTTTCGTAAACTGCAAGCATTACTCAAATCCTGCCAAAGTTTTGGTTGTTTAGAACAGTGTTCTCTCAAATGCAATATAAATTTCCCCCATTCTTTCTTAAAAATTTTCTCTTCCTGGTTTATGATTTTCCTGGTCAGTTCCGCCATTTTGCCATAGTTCAACAACTTCATCAGCCATTCCTCTCTGGATGGAACTTTATCTTTTTTCCATCTCTGGGCCAGTAGTATCCTTAGTGCTGTCATCATGTACATGAATAGTCGTTTCTGCTCCCTCAGAATCTCTAAACCTAAAAAGCCTAAAAAAAAAAAGCCTCTGTTTTCCCCACAAATGTTATTTTAAACATTTTTTTCAACTCATTGTAAATCATTTCCCAGAATGTTTTAATTATCTTGCACGTCCACCACATGTGGTAGAACATGCCTTCCTTCTCCTTACATTTCCAGCAAACATTTGAATCAGTTCTATACATTTTTGCTAGTTTTACAGGTGTAAATTACCACCAATGCATCATTTTCATATAATTTTCCTTCAATGCGCAGCACACTGTAATTTTTAAGTCTTCCCTCCTTGACTTTTCCCAAGATGAAAATTGAATATTATGCCTAATGTCTTGTGCCCATTTTATCATTACTGATTTGACTTCTTCATCCTTAGTTTGCCACTCTAGCAATTTATACATTTTAGAAAGTAACTTCACATTATTTTCCAATAATTCCTTTAGAAACCTTGAGATTTCTGTACTAAATCCATTTTTCTTATCTATTTTAAACGCATCATTTACTTGAAGGTATTGCAACCAGTCTGTAACTAACTGTCTTATATCTTCAAAATTTTTCCATTTCAATTGTTGTTCTACTTCTATGAGCAACTCTTTGTAGCCTCTTTAAAAAGTCTGTTGCCTTGTGACGAGAGACCACACTGGAGACTCATGGTGTTTTGGAAATATATACTATTTATTTATATATATATATATATATTTAAGTTTTTGTTAGACGGGGGAACTGGGTCTTGGAGGGGAGAGAGAGCTGTGCTGGAGCTGCTAGTCTCACTTCTGTCACTGCCTGGAAGAGAAAGGAAGAGAAAAGATTCTTAATTTTTTCATCTATTATAACGTTGATAACCGATCTTTCCTGGAAGGATCACCAGGTGGCTTATGTTATTTTACCTTCCTCCCTTCCTCATCCTATCCCTGAACTCTTCTTAAATCAGGGAGCTGCCTCCCCCCGCCCTGGCAAGCCAGACTCTCTCTGGCCTCTCTGTTCTTCATGAACAAAGCTCAACACTCACCATTGGTATATGCACTGGTGGTATCCATCCCCTGGTCTCTCAGTCTTACATAAATCGTTCTTACTTTAATCTTTCTTCCATCGACCATCACACTTTCTTCCTCCAAACAGACAAGGGGATGGATTTTGAGGGAACGGCAACAGGAGGCCAGCAGCTCTCGAATCTAGGGAAGAAGAGGGAAAATAGTCAGGAAATGGGTTCTAGATACTTTGTTGATACTCTATGTCTCTGTGCTAAATTTGGGGAACCGGGCAGCTGAACCTACTTTCAGAAACCTCTCATGGAGAGTGCAGCAAACAGTTCAACCCACAGAGGAGGGCATTTTGTCAAAGGACCCTCCAAAACTGGGAGATGCCCTTCTTGTGATGATGCCCACAAGGGAGAAGGCAAGCCATTTCCCTCAAAGCAGCTAAGGGGGCCCTGAGGACAATTTTTAAAAATTAATCTAATCATGACCTGGTTCCCTATGTGTCTAAACCTTAAGGGATAGCAAAAGAAGCAGACTGCGGAAAGAAGAAGAGATATACTTTACAGGCAAGATGAAGAAATTTTCATTTTTCGGAAAACACAATTTACACCAACGATCTCTTTTCTTTGAACTATAGATAAATAGTTGCTCAGCCAAGTGACTCAGCAGGGGGACGTGTCGAAAGATCCACAGACACCCTCCATATCGGCAGTGGTGGCCTCCATCCCCAGGTCGCTTGGTTGAACATATAGTGATCTCATCTTCACTAATGTTTCCTTCTTATCCTTCATGACCATCACTCCATCCTCCGATTTCTCCCTCACAGACCCCATGGGTCTCTAACACCGACTCCCACTCCAACTGCCTCCCTTGGAACTTTGGCCAGTCAGGAGCTGTTGTCAGTTAACGGTTTTCTGGTAGGAGGAAAAACACTCAGTGACTCAACCTGCTCACTAAACAAACTTTTCCGTCGCATATCCCACCCCCGAAAATCATTGCATAGGCGAGGTTGCATATACCAGCCTCGATGCAGCAATTGTAAAAAGTATTTTGGGGTTCCTGCTTAAAATACGCAAATATACATGTATCGTACACACAATACCTTATATACTTTATAATACTATTAAGCTATAAACACTATAAAGTTCTAAACATAACTATACAGCATAACACTTTATATTCTTTTACATCTAAAGATAGGCGTTGCGCTTTAAAAAATACAGGATCCAAATACATTATAACCACTTTTAAATCTGCATTTTAACTAATTGCATTTCAAACAGACACCACACTGATCCATTATCAGACGTTACTCTACATTAGCAATTTATGCCAGTGTCTTCCACCAAGAAACAAACAGCTTTCCTTAGGCTGCAAGGAAGTGAAATGTTATGAGTTTCTGGGTGCCAGGCATTGAACCCCTGGATTCAGCAAATGTTAAAAGATACGCAAGGCAATTTGCATTATGAGAAAATCACCTGGATTGATGAGCTATTAGGAAAGGCAAGAAGAGGAGGCTGTGTGCCCCTTCCTCAATTCATAGTTAGAAGACAAAGGCAGTTAGGGTTTGCCGTGGGGTGACCTAGAGGAAAAATGGGTTGCATGCTGTTAAAGGCAAGAAAGCTGGAGAGAGGGTCAGAAGATGACGGTAGATTTCTGTCTGAAACAGTGCTGCCCTCAGATATCTTCTAAAACTCAGATAGTTGTTTATTTCCTTGACATCGGATGGGAGAGCATTCCACAGGGTGGGCACCACTACCAAGAATGCCCTCTGCCTGGTTTCCTGTAACCTCACTTCTTGCAGGGAGGGCACCGCCAGAAGACCCTCAGCGCTGGACCTCAGTGTCCGGACTGAAAAATGGGGGTGGAGTCGCTTCTTCAGCTATACTGGGCTGAGGCTATTTATGGCTTCAAAGGTCAGCACCAACACTTTGAACTATGCTCAGAAACGTACTGTGAGCCAATGTTGGGCTTTCAGAACCAGTGTTATATGGTCTCAGCAGCCGCTCCCTGTCACCAGTCTAGCTGCCGCATTCTGGATTAGTTGTAGTTTCCAGGTCACCTTCAAAGGTAGCCCCACGTAGAGCGCATTGCAGTTGTCCAAGCGGGAGATAACTAGAACATGCACCACTCTGGTGAGACAGTAAATAAATTATATATCAGAAAGACACCACGGTCTCAGCTGTGCCTCATTTCCAAAAGGGAAACATGCACGGGTTGCGATTTGGTGCTTCTGAGCTTGCGCAAAGCGCAATTTAGCACTTCTGTGCATGCGAGAGCCCCCGAAACCCAGAAGTAACCCATTCCAGTACTTCCAGGTTTTGGCGGGTCCATAACCTGAAAAACGCAACCTGAAGCATCTGTAACCCGAGGTATGACTGTACTGAATTGGTCCTACATAGTTCATTAAAAATCTGAGCATTTCATCTATGTTCTAACCATCAACCTGTTAAAATTAAAGGATCTAAGAAACTAATGTCCATTAATTTCAGTAGGTTTACCCTGAGTGCATATTTTAAACATACAGGCACACGATCACAGCTTTGTTGGGTGGGGAATAAATAAATGAATGGAAAGCAGAAGAAACCCACTCTCCATTTATTTAATCCCCCCATGTGTGAAGTTGTGATCAATTGCAGTCTTTACTAGCTTTGGGAAGGAGGAAGGACTCTAGACCCTGCCAGAGCCCTCACACCTCCTTCCCAAAGCCAAGCTAGCAGCCCTCTGGAAAACTTGCAGGGCGGCCGTTCTCAAGGGTTTACGGCTCTACGCAATTTTGCCAGCAACAATATTTTTCTGATCCATTTTTTTGCTGGGCGGTGGGGGGGGGGAGGGGATACAGGATTATAATCTAGCTAGATACAGTACTGCCTCACTGCTGAGGTGTGTAATTCAAGATGTATCACTTATGCTGGGGATGGAGAACAAAGTTATGCCAAGGTGGCATTTGAATTTAGACAACTGTGAGTCTAATTCAATAGCTTTACAGTGGTACCTTGGTTCTCAAACGTTTGGTACTCAAACAGCTTGGAGCCTGAACACTGCAAACCCGGAAGTAAGTGTTCCGGTTTGTGAATTTTTCTTGGAAGTCGAACATGCTCGGTTTTGAGCGTTATGCTTCCGATTTGAGTGCCACACTTCCATTTTGAGTGTTACGCTGACGACTGTCTATTTTTGCTATTTATTTTGCGTTTTTGTGGCTCTCTGTTTTTGTTTTCATGACTGTGTGGAACCCAGTTCAGCTACTGATTGATTGATTGATTGTGTGACTGAAGTACATTGCTTATTACTTTCATTTTATGGATCAATGGTCTCATTGGATAGCAAAATTCATGTTAAATTGCTGTTTCAGGGGTTGTTTTTAAAAGTCTGGAATGGATTAATCCATTTTGCGTTACTTTCTGTGGGAAAGCTTGCCTTGGTTTTGGAATGCTTTGGTTTTGGAATGGGCTTCCGGAAAGGATTAAGTTTGAGAACCAAGGTACCACCGTATTGACTTTGAAAAAGCATTTTATCCCATTCTTTAACTGAAAAGACTCCCACAGCAAGAGAACATCCAGACTGAAGATTCTGAAGTGGACCATTGATCCAATCTGTGTCATGACTCATCCAGATTAGATCAGGTGAGTTCACTTAGGAATCTAAGTAGGGCAGATTTCTCTGCCATTCCTAGTGCTTATAAAAGAGTTCCTTGACATTTTTCTGATTTATTTAGAATGTAATAATTAAAAACATTTGGCCTCGTATCTTTCAAGCAAAACTTTGCTTTCCCTGTGGCCTATGATGGGGGGGGGAGAGACTAGGAGCTTTCATTCTATATACAGGACAAGAGTTAAATGAATCTCTGTTTAACTGATACGTAATATTGACGTGATGTAAGGCAAGCAGTCTTGAATTCATCTGCATCACCACAAGACTCTACTCTTTTGGCTTCTTCCCCGGAAGTCATTTCATCATGTTGAATCATTCAAATGAACAGGCAAGGTCTTACATAAGTGAAGAAAGTCCAAAGAGAAATATATCGTGACCAGAGAAGCATTCCTCTTTCAACTTCCCCAGTATCACTTCTGGTAAACAAGACAATGTTTTTTAATCAAAAACCTAAATCTAAGGCGACCTTATTTCTTGAATTAGTCCCAGTCCTAGCCAGCAATTTAATGTGTCATTCCAACAATGAAGTTAACTAGTTGAAGAAAGTGGCTGAGGCATCATCTACACTGGGGGTCAGCAAACCTTTTCAGCAGAGGGCCAGTCCACTGTCCCTCAGATCTTGTGGGGGGCCGGACTATATTTTGGGGGGGGGGAATGAACAAATTCCTATGCCCCACAAATAACCCAGAGATGCATTTTAAACGAAAGCACACATTCTACTCATGTAAAAACACCAGGCAGGCTTCACAAATAACCCAGAGATGCATTTTAAATAAAAATACACATTCTACTCATGTAAAAACACGCTGATTCCTGGACTGTCTGTGGAAGGGATTTAGAAACCAATTGGGCCAAATCTGGCCCCCGGGCCTTAGTTTGCCTACCCATGATCAACACTATAAATTTAAAGCAGCATCATACCCTGAGCCCAGCTTCGGCTGGGGAGGATGGGATATAAATAAAATTTATTATTATTATACCACTTCAACAGCTTCCTCCAAATAATCCTGGCAACTATAGTTTGAGTGATGAGAGTTGTTTATATCTGTAGATACAATATATAGATTTTAACCTAATATAGATTTTAACCTAATATAGATTTTAACCTCTGGGGAAAACTCTGGAAAAAAAAGTGACTTGAAGTTTACAGCATGTTATTCTTTGAAGGAGAACTACCTGAAAATGATTTACAGATGGTATTTAACTCGGAGTAGGCTTGCTAAGACGGATGCGGGTAGCACTGTGGTCTAAACCACAGAGCCCTCGGTCCCTGCTCCTGCTAACCTAGCAATTCAAAAGCGCATCAAAGTGCAAGTAGATAAATAGGTACTGCTCCAGCGGGAAGGTAAATGGCATTTCCATGTGCTGCTCTGGTTCGCCAGAAGTGGCTTAGTCATGCTGGCCACATGACCTGGAAGCTGTCTATGGACAAACGCCAGCTCCCTCGGCCTATAGAGCAAGATGAGCGCCGCAACCCCAGACTCTTCTGCAACTGGACCTAATGGTCAGGGGTACCTTTACCTTTCTTTACCTTTAGGCTTGCTAAGATGAATAAGACTGAATCGGATGAGTGCTGGTGATGCAAAGAGATGGAGTGATCGTTCTTTCATATGTGGTGGACTTGTAAAAGAGTAAAAGAGTACTGGGAAATTATCCATAATGAATTGGAAAAAAAATGTTTGAAAGTGCTTCCCCCCCACCCCAAACCAGAGTCCTTTCTATTGGGGATAACAATTCAGACGGAAATTCCCAGGTGTCAAAAAAGGTTATTTATGTATGCCACTACTGCGGCCCATGTTTTGTTAGCCCCAAAACGGAAAACAAGTGAGGTTCTAACCAAAGAAGAATGGCAACTTAGGTTGACAGAATATGTGCAGCTTGCAGAATTAACATATAGAATAAGGGAACAAGAAGAAGAAGAGTTTGGATTTGATATCCCGCTTTATCACTACCCTAAGGAGTCTCAAAGCGGCTAAAATTCTCCTTTCCCTTCCTCCCCCACAACAAACACTCTGTGAGGTGAGTGAGGCTGAGAGACTTCAGAGAAGTGTGACTAGCCCAAGGTCAGCTAGCAGATGCATGTAGAGGAGCAGGGAATCAAACCCAGTTCACCAGATTACAAGTCTACCGCTCTTAACCACTACACCACACTGGCTCTCAGAAGAACATACGTTTAGAGAAGTTTGGAAAACATTTATTGAATTATGGGAAATAACTGTACAGCTGAAAACCCTAGCAGCATTAGGATAAATTCAACAGTGTAA